CAGATGCTGTCCTTCCTTGACCCTACCTAGTTGTCACTCCCACTCCTTGACCTGGGAAATGGCCTATATTCTCTGGAGGACCAGCCCCAGTTGTCCTCTGGATGTAACCATGGCCAGGCCACAGCCACAGGAAGATGCCAGAGAAATCCAATTTTTAGCATGTTATGCTGTAGAATTATTGACTTCACATCATGTGACTTACCTGGAATGGCTGTCTCAAACTTGGTCTCCCACTGTGATCAGAGCCTGTTTGGGTGGAGAGGGGAGCAAATGTGTGACTCCCTAGGAGGCACAGTTGTGGTACTTTGGGAGCTGCTTCTCCCTCTTGTTCCCCAGAGTGAGCCTGAGACACAAGGCAGAGCCGAGATGAGAACTTTGGATGTCTCCATCCTGATGCAGGCCTGGGAAATCCCTCAACCATCCAGAGCTACTCTCTGGAAGCCACAGAGGAGGAGAAAATTGTGTAGCTAAAAACTTAAAAGATCCTTAAGAGGAAAGAGTGGTAAGTGGGGCTATCCAAGGTTTTCAAATGGTAGTTATCGAAAATCATGATTCTGGAGAAGGGATTGACTCCACACACAGCCATGTTTTTCTGCCATGAGATGGCTGGCTATCATTCATATGATTCTGGAAAATGGTGGTTACAACATTATTGTCTACAAGGGATGGTGGTCCAAGAAAAAAGTGGCTTAAAATACATCCGGTGATGTTTATTTTCATTGAACAAGACAAACAGAAAGCAAGGTATATACTGCCTACTTAAGAGAATGGCCCCTGAGGACCAACTGCCAGGGCAGCTTCTGATTTTAGTTCACCATACCCTGAGGTGCCTCTGTCTTCACTCCTCCTAGAGGCCACTGTGGTGCATCCCGTAGATGCCCTGCAGTTTCCTGTGAAGTAAAGAGATGGTTGGTAAGGGCTTCCAACATTGGGGGTCTCCCAGAAGCATGGGGCCACACACCTTGCTGAACCTGAAGAGCAGTGACAAGAGCTGTGTGGCTGGACAGGCCAAGATGGTGCACAGGAGACCCAGACTGAAGGATTCCAGAGTGGGACCCACATCCAGGGAGCGCTGCAATGGTTCAATTACACTGCAATTAATTCCCTTGAGTCAAAATCAAAACACACAGAATTCCAAATGTATTCAGTGTGAGCATGACTCCTATTTTAATTTAAGTCCCTTTTCCAGAAGCCTTGCCTCTGCCCTGGGGGTTGAGCAAGCCAAAATGAACTTTTCCTCATCTGTATGAACCAAACAAATGTTAGCTGACCATGCACAAGACCCATGCTCAACTGATTAAGCCCACAAGAAGATGTCAAGAGCTTCAGTATGTCCCCAGCAAAGGACGAGAAGGCAACCTAGATCAGACTACTGGAGGACTCCAGGGAAGCCGAGCTCCGCAGAGAGCATAGCAGGCTTCTCCTTGCCACTTGATCACAATTCTTTGCCATGTTTTGTTTATTGTCACAAGCTCTACCAACATATTATAGTTTAAAATTCTGCATATCTTGAAATGTGACCATATCTACTGCCACATAAAGAATTTGCCACACCCTTTGTCCTCTGACAGATGACTGAACTCAACCTTGGCACAGCTATTATCAGTGTCTCTGCCAGCTGTCTAGAGGGCCATGTGAACCCAGGGGCTGGCCCATGAATGATCCTGAATTTTCATAGAAAACAACCTTGAGCTGGAGAGATGGCTCCATGGTTAAGAACCTGTGTTACTCTTGCAGCACATCCTAGTTTGTTTCCTAGCACCTACATCAGGCAGCTCACAAACAACCTGTCACTCCAGCCACAAGAAGTCTGACCCCTCCTCTGGACTCTAAGGTACCCTCTCTTTCTCTCCTTGTATCACACATAACCATAGAAAGAAAAAATGATAAAAATAAATCTTCAAAAAGATTAGCTTCTTTCTGCTCACCCTGAATGTCATGTTGTATGGAGCCCAGGATGTGGATTCTCACAGGGCAGCAGTCTGTCTGTTGAGGACTTGCAGACCCTCTCAGCTCTAATTCCAGTCATGTTACCTTCTGGCCTATTCCTCACACTGCTAGATTGCTGCTCCTAGCTTAAGCCCTTCTCCGGAGCTCTTGAGTTTTGCATGTTAAAAGAAGGACAAAATGTATGCCTGAGATTTGGAAGTTACTGTGAGAAAATCTGCTGCCTCCCACCTGTTCATGAACTCCCACGGTGACCAGGGCAGTGAGGCATGAGTAGACACACAGGAGGCAGAAGGACACAGCAAGCCGCTGTGCGTGTAGGTAGCTGCTGGAGGTGGGCTGGCTGTACAGTGAGAGCCAAATGTGAAAATCCTCCAGGTACTCCGTGAACTTGGAATAGAAAAGCTGAAACAGAAAGCACGGGTGTTTTTCCCAGACCTGGATACACATGTGAACAGAGTGGAATCCTGACTGAGAATCAGCAACTTTTAGAATGAGACTCCAAAATTTCTTGGCTTTTCTCTTTCAGCTGACAGCTGGATAACTCCTGGCCACTGGGTTGGTGCAAGCAGATGCCTCTCATGGTCACTTGTTCTGCCTCCATCCTCCCCACCCCACCACCTCTTCAGCAGTATCGCACTGGACCATGTGTTCACCGCCAGGACTCTGACCCAGTTCAACATCCCACCTGAAGGTTTAGTCCCAACATTTCCCTGCTTCGTTTGTGCAGACTCACAGAGACCTCTTCTCATGGCCCTCCCTCCCACCATTTCTTTCCTTTCTGATCCCAAAAGACTTTCTAAATCTCCGCATTCCCAGCACTTCCCACAGAAGCACAGTCACATTTTAGCTGGGCACCGGCTCCGGGTGTTCTGAGAGCTGGGACTGACCTGACCTGCCTTCTCCTTGGGAGCCTTACAAGGTCTACTGCCCAGAAGTCGGCAATAGCTTGTGGAATTTCTCTGAATTTTAAAATTCTTAATGCAACTTGAATAATTTTTTGGTGCTAAACATTCTAGAAAAGAACTATTTAGTAACTGAACTAATATTATAAGTGCAGCAAATTTAGTCAAAACAGGTTTACTAGACTAAGGATGTATCTTTTGCATGTAAATTCCCAAGTGACTGTTGATTCCTGAGACCCAGTCCAGATATGGGTTCACAGACAACTAAATCACTAAAGTCAGGTTTCTTACCTAAAGTTTTCCAGCAATAGCTGCAGGGGAAACATGGAAATTATTGCCCAAAGGATGTTACAGTTAAGTAGGGTCTTTGGTTTAAAGTGCCAACATTTTTCCATGGCTGTTTGGAAATAGTTGTTTCGATTTCATATTGGCTATGTTTTCTGCTGAACTGGCAATGCCAGGTACTTCTCACTATGGTGACAATGGAAAGAACAAGACCCAGTAGCCAGGAAATGTCAGGTTGGCAAGACAGTTCAAAGGGTAAAAGCGCTTGCTGCCAAGCCTGGTGACCTGAGTCCAATCCCCAGGACCCACATGGTGGAAGGAGAGAACCACGTTCCACAAGTTGTTCTCTAACCTCTACATGTGGACTGTGACATGAACACACACACATTTAAAAATGTTACAAAATTTTTTAAAAAGGCAATCATGTTTCAGAAACACAAGTCACAAAGAAGTGTCTCTGTGACATTTGCTGTTATGGAAATAAAGGAAGGATAATTGTACTGTAGCCTTAGCAAATAGCAGTGTACAGTGGGCTATTATGTGCCCTTTAAGTTAGTTAAAAGAAAACTCATGAAGAGATTTATTTATTTTTATTTATTTATTTATTTGGTTTTTCAAGACAGGATTTCTCTGTGTAGCTTTGGAGCCTATCCTGGCACTCTCTCTGGAGACCAGGCTGGTCTTGAGCTCACAGAGATCCGCCTGTCTCTGCTTCCTGAGTGCTGGGATTAAAGGCGTGCACCACCAAAACATTGAATATAAAATGTGAATGTTGGCAATGAGCCAATGTCCATCAATGGGTAGTAGATGGGAATATTCAGAAATGAAAATTTCATACTTAATCTGTGAGATACTAGACAATTCTGTCACCTATTAGCACTTATCTACTTTCAGACATTGCAGCCACAACCTGTTTGTATTCCGTGACAGTGGAATTATTTATGGCACATGAGTTAACCCTTCATCTGGGCCCTCTTGAACACCAGCATGCAGAAGTCCTAGAAATGTGTTACTGTTGCAGCTCAAAGACTGCAGAACTGCATCACTGTAAAGATTGCCAAGTGGCAAAGGCAATGATGCTCACTGGCTGGTCAGCTGATTCAAGCGTTATGTCACCTGAAGTGTGATGTGCGGCAACTGTCTCCTGTGAACTTAAACGGCCCCTACCAGAGGAGGGGGGAGGGGCTGAGACCCAGGGAACTCACGAAACAAAAGTCACAAATAGCCTCTTCAAGGTTAGAGAAACAGTAAGCCATTGCTATGGAGAGGACTTTCTGCAAGTAGTATAGAGCCCCAGGGTGCCACTTTTTAGTGGTGTAGCTTCTGCTGAATCACCCCACCCTTATAAAGTAATCCATAAACCAAGTGTCTAACCAAGGTAGACTTAGATGGAGTCATTTCTTTGCTGGGTCATCAGTTCCTATCTGGGGTGAGCAGACTTGTTTGACGTCTCTCCAGAAGAAGTCATACAACATGGGTGTCTTGACAGTTAGCTACATAACTTTGGGAAAGTTCAAATCACAACTTTGGAAAGAGAAGCAGAAGTGGGCACGAAACAATACCAGCCAATTACATTTATGTCACCTGCGTGGGGCCTACCTTCCAGAAGCCAAGACCACGGCGCAGGCAGAAGAGCTCTCGCTGTACACGGCCATCGCATAGGCTCACAGCCAGCCAGCATTGGGCCAAGAAGAACCAGCCTTGGCCTGAATGTAGCTCCTTTACCATCACGTGGCTGATGAACCAGTTTGGGGAAGGTCCACTACTGTCATGCCAGAGGCGGATCTTCTGCAGTGGTCCCAGTTGGTTAGGAGTGCTAGTGACACACAGAAATGTCTTATCAGCCATGTGTATTCTCAGCACCTGTAAAAACCTCACCAACTCTGATATGGCCCTTCAGGACGGTGGGCTCCACTGAGCACTGTGACTGGTAGGGCCACACAGGCCTTCAGGATCCACTCTAATGTCCCCTTTATCACCAGTTTACTTCTCCTGGTTTTAGTTCTTCACCAACAAGCACAAATAAAGAAATACCTAGTGGGAAATTCTAGAAATAAATAATCCCAACGTTTTGAAGTTTCATTACACTGTATTGTTACAGCTATTCTGCTTTACTATTACTGATTGATGATCTTGTGCTATGCCTCATTAATAACTCATACTTTATCTTAGGTTTGATGTCAAGGAGCAATTAAGTAGGTCCAGGGTTCAGTGCTCTCTGCTCATTCTGGGATCCACTGTGTGACCTGGAACACATCTTGAAAAGGGAATGCCTATAATTTCCTTAAACCAAGTCACTCAGCTCTCCATCTGCCTGTTCTGATGTGAGTCTGAAGTTAAACTGTACTTTCCTCATAAAAAACAATGCTCCAAAATAATAAATATTGTAAGTAAATTATAATAAACATAAATTTTTTCATGAGAAAAAAATGACTCCATTATTTTCATGCATTTTAAGAGTGTGAGGCACTTACACCTCTGCCTTGATAAATGATCTCTTCCCTGACTCCCCATCTTTGGATGCCATGTAGCATTGCTCTTCCAGATTTGGAGTGGTGGCACTAATTAGATTCATTGGGTTTTGTGACATAAAAAAATACTTATTCTAGGCTCTCTTTCCTACTGCTCTTCTGAAGAAGCAGGCAGGTCTTTGCATCCTCTCTCTCTCTCTCTCTTTCTCTCTCTCTCTCTCCCCTCTCTGTCTCCTCTCTCTCTCTCTCTTAGCCTTTCTCCTCTCTTCTGCCAAAGGCCAGTCTCCCCCCCCCCACTCTCCCCTTTTCTCATTTCCTTTCTCTCAATAAAATTTCCCATGTTAAAAAAATAAAACAAAACACTTATTCTAATACACAGGCTTAGTAAGCCTCCACCTTTTTTCTGCCTTCATCCCCACACCCTACTCCCACACCCCAAACGCCACCACTCCCACCCTCCCACCCCATGTTACTCTTTCTCTTTTGTTAGGCATGCTTGTAATTCCAGGCCCCAGGCAGCAGAGTCAGGAGGATACTTGCAAATCCAAGGCCAGCCTAGTCTACACAGCAAATTTCAGACCTGTTGTGGCTACATAGAAAGACCCTACCTTAAAAAACCAAAAGCAAAACAGAACCTTCCTAAAATTTAAGTATGTGAGCCAGTGTTCATCACTCTCTTTCTAGGCTTTATCTTAGGCATAATGTTCAAAAAGCCAAAGTTCCCTATGCAACATCTTGTGTGATACCCCATTCTGCCCAGCCCCTTTCCCAAATTTTGTGGTTGAAGGTGTCAGGAGTACCTCAGTATAAAGGTGTGCCTGGAATTCCTTCCAAACAAAGACATCTCTGGGCAGCAGAGTTCTTTGGTTCCTGAGAATCCATTTTCACCATATAATACAATGAAAACCTTCAAACAGACACAGAAACGAGAGCTGAGGCTACGTCACTGAGGGTGTGCAGTCTATAGAACAGTGTTTCTTTACCATCCCAGCTTCCTACTGGCAGGTTTCAGCATTGAGCCTAGGGGCTGGGGGAGCCTGCAAGACTTGCAGAGCCCTCACAGACCAGGGTTGACATCCTGCAGTGTAGTCTGCTCCATAGCCAGCTACAAACTTCATCTAGAAAAGTGGGAGCCCCTTTGGGATTCCTCAGCATTTTTCTTCCTCAAGCAGGGCAGAACTCCACAGAGGGCGGCATCTTCTACTTTGAGCATGGTGGCTGGACACTGGGCCTATGGAACACCAGAGTGAGGCCAGGATTGGTGGGTGGGGTACCTGCGTCCATAAGGAGCACCCTAGGGAAGCACACTGGACTGTGCTTATCACTCTCTCTGGCATCTGTTACACAGAAAGCTTCAGTTTTGGTGTGGTATAATCTTAATCTTTCATTAAAATAGCATTATTCTCTTGCCTTTCTTTCTTTCTTTCTTTCTTTCTTTCTTTCTCCCTTCCTTGCTTCTTTCTCAATCTCTCTCTCTCTCTCTCTCTCTCTCTCTCTCTTTTCTTTTCTTTCTTTTTGGTTTGTTTTTGTTTTTTGAGACAGGGTTTCTCTGTGTAACAGTCCTGGTTGTTCTGGAACTCACTCTTTAGAACAGGCTGGCCTCGAACTCACAGAGATCAGTTTACCTCCTAATCCAAAATTATCTTTTGCTTTGAGTAGTTACTATTTTTTAAATTATCTTTTTGTAGACTTCTGAAATTTAGTTATTGTGTGTATGTGTGTAATGTCAATTAAATATTTTATATCGTTTCCTTTTATAGGGACCATGATTGTTCTAGATATGTTGCTGAAACTCCTCCTTGATCTATAAGACCTTGACACACACCTGGGTCATTTCTGAGTGTCTAGCTGTCCCATAAGTCTACTAGCCAACCCCAGAAGACATTACACTGTGATGACTCTTGCCTGGCTTTCTGGTGGGAGCCACACCCTGTTCTCTTTCAGATTGTTAAGACTATACTTACTCTACTATGTGCTAGTGTTCCTTTCATATGAACTTTAGAATCAATAATTCCTGTTCCCCAAGACATCTTTCTGAAATTGCAGTGATGTCATTGGCTTTACTCTTTTTATATGTTAGGGTTTTTTTTTTTCTTCTTCAGTAAAATGGATAGTGTGGCTGGGTGTGATGGCATACCTTTAACCCCAGCATTTAGAAAAAAGAAGCAGTTGGATTTCTGAGTTCGAGGCCAGCCTAGTCTATATAGCAAGTTCCAGAACAGTTGGGGTTACATAGTTCGATCCTGTATCAACAAACCAGCAAATAAATGCACACAAAACACAAACTCAAATACAACAAGCAATGTGGATATAGGAATAGATCAATTCACACTCATCATTATCATCATCCTACAGATTGATTTATGATTTATGACAATTGGAAATTAGTTGTCTCATCTACTGCATTAAGATTGCTATATTTATTTATTTAGGTCTTTTTTGAATATTGGGCAAATTCTTCCCATGATGCTTCTGTATGTGCTAGGTGAATTCACCTTCAGGTACTCATTATTTTGTGGCTGTTAGGAGGCTCTTGCTTCCAATCATTGCACAATGGAAGCAACTGACTCTGTGTGGATGAGTGGTATACTGTCCCCAAGCACAATCATGAATCTAGCAAGCTGGTCTAACTCATCGAGTCTCATTGTTTTATATCATTTTTGCACCAGCATGTCAAGAGCACATGGCTCTATCTTCTGGCTTTAGGGGAGGCCACACTCACTCTCCATGCCTCCAGTCCTACGGGGACTGTGTATCAAATACATGTGGAGAATTCCTGGTGGATTTGTCAGGCACCTTGCTATCACACACCTCTGCAGACTTCTCTTACACAGCCCACCTTGGCCTAGGTGTTTCCCTGGGTTGCTAGGCTGGTCTTCCTCCTTGACCCTCATACCACTTCCTCTTCCTCCCCACCCACAACCTCATCTTCATCTGCTTCTCTGTTGAACTCTCTGTCCTTGACCTCTGTCTCCCAACCTAGCCCATTCCTACTTAGCCCCAAGGCTAGCCTGGGAACTTCTTTTTTTGCAGATTTTTTTTATTTTAATTAGAAATAAGATTGTTTTACATATCAATCCCTCTCCCTCCCCTCCTCCCTTACCCCCCTCCAACTAAAATCCTACCTATCACATATCCTTTCTGCTCCCCTTGGAGAGTGAGGCCTTCCATAGGGTGTCATCAGAGTTTATCATATCCTTTGGGATAGGGCCTAGGCCCACCCCCGTGTGTCTAGGCTCAGGGAGTATCCCTCTATATGGAATGGGCTCTCAGAGTCCACACCTATGCTAGGAATAAGTACTGAACTACTACAGGAGGTCCCGTAGATTTCCGAGGTTTTCTCACTGAAACCCATGTTCCTGGGGTGCCTAGGAACTTCTTGCTCTTTTCTCGATAGATCCTTCTTGGATGTGGGCCATGGGTTCAGTGTTAACTTAGAGAAGTCCAGTCAGTTCTCAACCCCTCAGAGACCCACTCCCAAGAAAGCCATCTCTGAAGCTGTTTTTCACCATGGAGTCAGAAAGGGGGAGGGGAGCCCAGGGGGCAGGAGGTGAGGTTCCTGTCCCTATCAGGCCCATCGACACTCTTAGACACACCAAAGGCATTGTTAGGAACTCATATTACCTTTGATGTAAATTGGGCTGGTGACCGGAAGCCAGTGTCAATGATTACTGCATACAGCTGGTGGCCAGGTGGGATACCTTCTTCCAGAAAAATACAACCAGGTTTCTTTTTCTTGTGACAATCTACACATCTGCTTTTAGTCATCAAAAGTCCATAAAGAACCAAGAGAAACACACTGAAAATACCAGGAATCAAGTTGTGTGGGTGACTGTAAATAAAGGAAGCGAAATTAAGGGAATTTCTCATAGGAACCGGCATTAGGAAGATGCATCAGCTCTACACAAATTCACAAACTCTCGTTGGTCATCATGGGTGTGTTTTCCAGACACCTGATACTGGTTGAGTGTGGGAATACTAAAAATACAGAGCTGCCTGTGGCCAATGGCAGGCACCCCACAGCCTACACTGATGCCCCAAGGAGCCTATGATGATCCAGATGGCATGACAGGAAGCTGCACCCTGTCAGGTCTGAGGAACTTGTACTGGGAAATTGAAAAAGAATGTCAGGTATGGCTCAGTGGTAGAGTTCTTGCCTAGCACATGCGACACTCTGGGCTTAATCTTTAGCATGAATGGTAAAAAATGGAAGAAAGAAGGAAAGAAAGAAGAATGTCCTGTATGGACATGCCTCACAGTACTGATGTGACATTCTGTTCTCCTCCTGCAGAGGAGACAGGAGACAGACAGGACAGCAGAACAAGACAGGAGAAGCCCCAGATGTTCCCCTGTGCCTTTTTTCCTCCCCTTGTCCCAGTGAGTGAGGCTGCTTGCTCTCCACCGGCAGCTAGTACTCACCTGGTCCCTCGTACTCACACACCAAGTCTGCCTGGGAAAGCAATCATCCAGCCCCATCCAGATTCGTAGAGAGTCATCCATGTAAAGCCCCTCCAGCTGAACCTTAATGTACCTGGACTTAGGCTGTTGGGTATTTGACAAAATTGCAGAGGGCAATACTATGTGGAAATGCTGCCTTCCTAGTCTCCTGTCTCATTACTCTGATTCCATCTAAGAGCTGATGCTCTTGGTCCCTGACCTGGTGTCCTCCTTTCTGTTCCCAGACCAGAATCAGAACCAAGTCACACTTGCTCCCTGCCACATTCCATGAACTCATAGCTTCCTGGCTCTAGCCCATCCTTATTTCCTACATTACTTCCTGGAAACATTCAGATGTCACCAGCACTTTGGGGTGACTTTGGGTGTCTGTCTGCAGTACCACCACCGCCCCCACTGTTCCTTGTTTACTCACAAATAATATTGGTGTTTCAGCAAACCAGGACAGGAAGTACTGTTCTCCAGGCTCTGAGAACTGGTTGGCTGGAAGCCTTCTCTGGGGCAGCACTGGTCATTTGTAGCTAATGACTACTTGCTGCCTGTCAAGTCCACCAGCTAATCTACTAAGTGCCATTCATAAGTGAAGTACAGTCTTATATTCTACCAATGTAAGTGCAAATATTCAAAGCAGCTTGCCCTCAATGTATTCATATTCCAAACTCTAAATAAAGTTTTTCAATATGAAACAGTGGCTACGAATACATGGCAGCTTTTGAACTTACTTAAAATAGGATAGAGGTTTGTGGTAGTTTGAATAGGAATGGCCCCATAGACTCACATGTTTAAATGCTTGGCCATAGGGAGTGGCACTATTAGAGGTGTGGCCTTGTTAAAGTAGGTGTGACTTTATTGGAGGAGGTCACTAGGCGGTTGGCTTTGAGGTCTCAGAAGCTTAAGCCATGCCTAGTGTGGCAGTCTCTGCCTGCTGACTGTCAATCAAAATGTAGATCTCTCAGTTTCTTCTCCAGTGTTATGTCTACCTGCACACCGCCATACTCTCAACATGAAGATAATGGACTAAACTTCTGAAACTATAAGCCAGGCCCTATTAAACATTTTTCCTTTATAAGCGTTGCCATAATCATGGTGTCTCTTCACAGCAATAGAAACCCTAAGACAAGGTTGTTATTGGAAATGAGGCTACAATATTCAATATAAATCAGGAAAAGAAAATAGAGTGTCATTTTCAATTGCTGTAAATATTTATTATATCAGTAATAATTGACCCAGTCTACACTGAAATATAGCTGAGCTTAAAAGTAAGGAAGATACTGGATTCCTGATGCTCATAAGGCTCCTGTCAGTGGACGTAAAGTATAAACAGTAATATAACATGTAAGGCAATCATTCCTCACATCTGTGCTCCAGAAAACAAACACGCTATGAAAGTATTAAGTATAAACTCGGCAGAGCATGGGCATCTCTTAAGTGGTCTCTGGAACACATTAAATGAAACTCTGCTTTGGAGAACGGAACTCACCTCCGAAACCCAGAAATGCTGCTCATTTCCAAAGTGGCATTCAGCTTTCTTCTCAGGATAGAGAAAGGCGCAAGGCGATGGTAGCTAGAAGGGGAAGGCAGAGCAGAGTAACAAAAGTGTGTAAGTTCCGCTATCTGTGATGGGACAATGAGAAGCTGGAAAAAAAGAAGTGGCAGTCACTCTGATGTTGTGATGTGGGCCAGTTTGTCATGTCTTCATGTGTAACTCTGATGTACTGCAGAGCCTCAAGTCTGGGTACTGGGAGGCAGATGCTATAGAAACTGTCCTGAGATGATCGGCATCAGGGTACACTGCCACCTACAGGCAGAGCCAGCACAGCACAGCCCTGCATGAGTCTCAGGTTAGAGCCTCATGATGGACTGACCTTAAACACCTGTCCTAGCCTCCCAATATCCTATCATTGCAAAGCCTGTCGTGACAACTACAGTAAATTCTATTTTTGTAAAACAAAACTGCCTCCTCTTTATCATCCTGCAGGTAGTTTCTGTATGCTCTTCCTTTGTGCCCCTGGCTCTTGGAGGAGTACTATGTAATAGAGAACAAAGAGCTGCTTTCATGTATAATTTAATAGCAAAGAACACCATAAATTCCCACGGCACCTTATTATTATAAAAGGCTACTGCAAAGCAACTCAACATTGGCACAAAAAGGGACAAGGAGGCCAATGGGTTGAAATAGAGAATCTGGACATAAGTCCACACAACTTCGGCCAACTGATTTTTGACAAAGCTACCAAAAGTACACACTGAAGAAAAGTACACACTATTTTTTGAAGCATCTTTAACAAATAGTATTAGAAAAATTGAGTACCTATGTGTAGAAGAATGAAACTAGGTACTAATCTCTCACCCTCCCTGAAAATCAACCCTAAGATTTAAATGTAAAACCGGAGATTCTAACACCAATAGAGGGAAAGGTAGAGAGTATTCTGTAAGACATAGGCACATGTAAGGGCTTTCTAAATGGAACTCCAGTCACTTAGGAAATAAAACAAATGAACTCGATGATATTTTTATATATTTTGCTACCTTTGGGTATTTTTGTTTGGTTCATTGATCTTTTGTGTGTATATTATGGTTTTCAATTTTGTGGGTTTGTGTGTGTTTCTTATGCTTTTTTGCTATTTTGTTCTGGTTTGTTTGCTTTTTATTTGCATGTTTGTTTTCTAAAGAGAAAGAAGGTGTGGAGTAGATGGATAGAGAGGTGGGGAGGTTCTGGGAGGAGATGGCAAGGGGAAACAGCAATCAGAATATATTATATAAACTTTTAGTTAAAAAAGATTCTCTCTCTCTCTCTCTCTCTCTCTCTCTCTCACACACACACACACACACACACACACACACACATACTCTCACACACACCCCCCAAAACCAAGACCAAACAAGCAAATAAACAAATGATATGAAAGCAGAAGGGGAAGCAGGAGTGAAAGGTGAATAACGGAGGGTAACGTGAGACTAATACAATCAATTGCATTGAATACATGTAGAAACTAATCAAAAATTGATATGAATAAAACCTACTCAACACAGGAAAAGTAACACATAACTGCAAATGTCACCAGGTCAGTTCAATTTGAACACATTTGACTCCTAATGGGCAAACACAGTATGTGACTCCTTGTGGCTTAATTGTTCTTGAGGGAAAAGACTGTTTCTATACTAATAATTACTGAGTTTCTATTCCATTGAGAAGGTAAGGGCAGCACAAATGAATGGACTAAACTGATTACAGGATTGTTAAATCTATGCCTAGGTGATACATAATGGCTACTTTAGTGATATGACCCAGATATCCTGAAATGACCAGGAAGGCTGCTTGTGTCCATACAGAGACTTCTCTTTGCATGTGAAGCTAACTTTCAGTCCAAGCCTTTGGGCAGGAGATGCCTCTGCTCACAGAGATGGAACGGCAGGGATTACAACAGTGGAGACTCTGCCTGCCTGACTACAGAGTACATAGTCACAGGATGTCCTACATCTATGGTAAGGATTAGATGGACTCATGCCCATCCACACGCTGTCTCATTTCTCAGTGGGCACTAAATGACCTGCAACATCCAGTCATTACAGGTGGCTCAACAGGATGCCCAGAAGACATCAGCCCCTTTCCTTGGGAGTCACAGACTGACATGCAGACAGCTGTAGCAAGCATATTCTGTTAGGGTAACACCAACTTTCATGAGAGGACACCGTTCACAGAAGGCCCCAGGGACTGACACAAATGTGGATGAAAATAGAGCCAGTTGTTAAAATTCCCAGGCCTTTTTCCCCAGTAGGATGCTCGTACCTGCAGTTGACTTTTTCAGGAGAACTTCCCGGATGTGGACAAGGACCTTCGGATCTCCACCCTGTCTTGTCCCAAAACACACACTGGATCCACTGGAAATTCACTGTATAGTTTACTGCCCCAGCAAGATATTTGTTTGGAGGTCTTCTGTCATAATCAGCATCTAATAGGGACAAATACCCCACATTGGTCCCTAGAAAAGAGGGGAGATGCATCAATAAAACTTGAACTTTTCAAGTGGCATGCTCCATCCCAAATGCAAGTGGAAAGGCCACTGGGGACAGACAGACAAAGAGGGAAGGACTGAAAACTGCATCAGATTCTGGCCATTTCCTGCTTTGGGGCATTTGCAGTGAATTAAACACACCACAACTTTTCATTTGTGAGTGAGAGTGCCTGGGGGGAAAACAGTGTTGCCAGTGCCACCATGTTCCAAGTCCTTCCTGACAAAAAGGGATCATCCCACCCAGGAATGGATGGAGATAGTTCAGCTTCTACTTAGATACCATTCAAGCCATTTCTGCTTCTTCTCAGACCACTAGCGACTCTGTCAAACACTATGCTGCTGTGGACAATACACCAACCATGTGAATTTAATTAATCATCTCCAGATAAGTTTGATATTTAAAAGTAAAAGTATTTAACTTTTCACTTATTTAAAGTTTTCTCCTGAGATTTTTAAATAAATGGTTTGGGGGCAATTAGATATTAGTTGCTTATAAAACTATGGAATTGATAGGGAGATAGCAAGTGGATAAGAGTGCTTGCTGTACAAGCATAAGGACATGAGTTCAAATCCCTGCATAAAATGTTTGATGGAGTTACACATTTCCTTGTAATCTACCGCTGTGGGAATTGGAGAAAGATGCTGCCTGGGGCTTACTGGACACCAGTCTAGTCTCGGGTCCATGGAGAAGCCTTGTCTCAAGGGACTACGGTGGAGAGCATTAAAGCAGGACACCTGACATCTTTTTCTGGCTTTGCAGACAGAGATTTGCACACCTGGCCACACATATGGGCATAAACCACATACATTATACATTATACCATACACTCTTTCACACACAATAAATGAATGAATGGGGGAATGAATAAAATCAGACCATTCTTCATATTCTATTCAATAATAAAAATTGGTCAGAGATCTAAAATGTTAAAACACTAACACTGTACCCACACTCAAAGACACATAAAGGATTTTTCTTAAAACTCACATATTAGGAATTGATTTCTAACAGTGGCCCCAAATCTAAAAGTTCTCCTCATTAAAGAGACCTCACTTTGCAACATATGCAGGCAACTACAGAAACCCACAACTGGTCAAAACACAGTGTACAAATGATGGTGGAGTGTCCAATTCCAATCAAAGCATCTACAACTAAGGCTCAAGGAACACTGCAGAAGAATGGGTGAAAAGACTCTTAGAGCCAGATGACTAGGAAATCTACTGTGAGATTGTACCTGAAAGAAATGTTAGGGAAGCTTCATCCATGACACTTCAACAACACGACTGTCTAAACTAGACCGGAAGAAGTACAACATCAATAGAGCCTGCAATATGGAAGGGGGATAATCTCACTGGTCCCACACTTAGACAAAGAGTTATAGGCAACTAATGAATGATAAGAGTGAAAGAAATGATCATACCTAGGGATGAGCCACCTGACTGGTTATCCAATACCAAGCAGTCAGCCTTGATATATTACAAAATTTTGATAAATGTCCATTTATATCCAATGAACTGAGCAAGTTGTATTTATATACTTAGGCATTTGTGTGTATGTGTGTGCATGTATGTATGTGTATCATAGTCATGGTTTGAAGAAAGAGCAAGGATAGATTGAAGGGAGGAAAAAGAAGGGGATATAATTTTAATTAAAACAAAGCTGATAAATTTTACTCTTAAAATGTTTTAAGCTTTATGTGGTGGTACAGACTTGGATGTTGATACAAAAAGAAAGAAAAACACTGCCATGCACACATAGGCCCAAGCAAGTCCTCTGCACATAAAGAGAGTGGAGACTTCCAAGGCTTAAAGCCCACTCACCTTTCACTGGAACGGCAGGTACATAAATTTGTACAGTCTGCTCATCCCAGAAGTACACCTGCTTCACAAGAAAATCAGCAGGCGTGGCTTTCTTGGAGAACCTAGGGGCAAACAGGAAGTAGTGAGATGCAGCTTTTCTTGCCTGTGTAGACTTTACTGATGCACTTTGTGACAACCCGTACTTTTCTCTAAAAAGGGATAGTTGGAGATAGTCAGGGCTAAAAAGAACCAATGTGTTTCATCCCCTGGTATGCTTAGCCCCTTAACTCCAACACCCCCCCCCACACACACATTAACACTTTATCCCCTATATTTGTAAAGAACAAACCACAACCTACTTCATGAAAAAGTAAGAATAACACCCAGCTCTATTTGTGGGATGAGAACATCGTACTGTCAGGAAGTGGGGAATTGGCAGGTAGAGAACAGAGGCTCAAACTATTCACATAAAGAAAATCCCAAGCACCTCCCTTTTGTATGTGACTTTGAAGAATTAAATAGGCAAAAAAAATCCAGATTCTTTAAGTCAATAGAAACCTCTAGCCATCTGATGGCTCAGTGCCCTTGGCAGATAGAGTCAAATCAGTGAATTGAGACTCAGCTGTGTATGGAGCCTGTCTGCCCAGCAGAGACACAACACTGACACTTGCCCCTGAGTCCCCCAGCCAGTGGAGGAACTCACATGCTTAAACAGCTGCAGTGGAACAGCTAACTTCTGCCCACACATGGAGACCCCCAGAACCCAAATAACCAGAGCTGGTTCTCCCAGAAGACTTTGCCCCTCCCCACCTGCCACTCGGTAACCACAGCAGCTTCTAGCAGTGTTTTCAACCTGAGAATCCAAAGAATCTCCAGTAGCCTTTCCACATAGTCTAGCCACTAGCTGAGACCAATCTAATCTCACAAACTCAACATCACTGAGAAAGAGAATTAACTTATCAAGTCTCCATGGAAATAAAATATTTAATACATTTTTCTCCTGGGAAAAAAGAGAGAAAAGAAGCAAGTGAGTGCGGGAACAATAGAACAATCTGGTCCAGGTCTATACTCTGGCGTTATCAGACTTCCAAATGGTGTCATAGTATGCATGACTGAAACTCAGGTGTTTCTCATTCTAGTTAACAGGCAGGAATCTAACATTTAAAAAGCATGGGAGCTCATTTTCTAAATATATATATATACTTAGTACATGTAGGCATACATATAATTTCTTTAAAAGATGACCCTTATTGCTTTAAAGCTAATCACTTGTTTGTTCACAAAAACCCTTAAGGACACTCCATCATGTTATAATCTCATTTCCATCACCACAGCTGCCACCTTCACACACCTTACTAACAGCATGATGGGGAAGGCTCTTGTAACCGGCTTAGAGAATTCAATTTGTATCTGTAATGTTTCCTGGGGTTTTTCAGAAAGCCCAATGAACTGGTGGAGATTTATTTCATCCCGAATCAGTGTGTACATAGTGGGATTTCTCTTGTGCTGTTCATCGGAAAGAGAGCAAGTCAGGCTGTTTGTCTTGGGGAAAGCAAATGCACTAGAAAGCAGCCAGTCCAGGCTAAATGAAGCAGAGGCAGTGGGTCAGCTGTCTTTACCCGGTGGTCTTCCTCCCCAAACTCCACAGTCACAGGTGTCTTCAGTCGTCCTCTGAGAATAGGTCGTCTGCTCTTGCAGCTGTAGAGCCTAGGGCTCACCACACCACCTACCTTGGAGAACAAAGAAAATGAAGCCAACAGTTGAGTCAAAGAAAAGCAGATAGGCACGGTGGCACACACTTTTAATCCCAGTACTTCCTAGAGGCAGAGGCAGGTGGATCTCTGTGAGTTCCAGACTAGCCTGGTCTACACAGTGAGTTCCAGGGTAGCTGGGCTGTGTGGAGAGAACCTGTCTCAGCAAACAAATGAACAAACAAGCAAAACAAAGACAAAGAGAGGCAAAGAAAAGCAGGAAGTAACTGGAGTCATACTGTCTTTCCAGTTCTGATAAGACAAAATGAGTTTATTGAGATAGATTGACAGGGTTTGTGTGGATGGGGGAAGAGGAGATTTAATGTTCCTTGTATGTTTTCCTTGCTAAAATGATAATTCTAAGTTAAAATCAAACGTTAAGAGCTTTTATAAAAAGAAGTATCTGGATATGTGTGGTGGTGCATGATTTCAGTCCCAGCACTCAGGAAGCAGAGACTCCAATGGCTACAGATACAGAGTGAGACCCTGTCTAATTTTGTTTTGTTTTGTTTTGTTTTGTTTTTTGTTTTTCAAGACAGGGTTTCTCTGTGTAGCTTTGGAGCCTATCCTGGCACTCGCTCTGGAGACCAGGCTGGCCTCGAATTCACAGAGATCTGCCTGCCTCTGCCTCCCGAGTGCTGGGATTAAAGGTATGCGCCACCAACGCCTGGCTGTCTAATTTTTTTTAAAAAAAAAGGGAGGATAAGGAGGGTGAGGAAGAGGAGGTAGAGAAGAAGGAGATGAAGGAAGAAGAGGAGGAGGGAAGGGAGGAGGGGCAAGAAGAGGAAGAGGAGGAACTACACTTCGGTGAGCTGGGTGGGAAGGCAGAGAATGTGATAAACATTGTATACACCACTTCTCTGCCTTTCCTGACTCACGTGATCCACACACTCAGTAGCACTAGTGGATTCTGAATGTAGATGCTCACAGCAAAGTGCAAAGACCTTGGAATCCTTCCTGAAGACTTCCACACCCCTAACCCGGGACAGATCACACACACCTCTTCATTAGCATGGCCTCTGTTTTGTTCTGATTGAACTCTGTGTTGATTTTAGGAACAATGAAACCTGCTTCAGGCTTGACCACTCCACCGCATGTTCCGGCCATGGACTCCCAGACACAGATTAGAATGCCCCAAGGTGAATACTGCAGAGAATCCTATCAGAGACCAATTAGCCCTAATTCTGCTAAGATTTTTCTGGAGAAATTTGTAAAAACAAAAGACCAAGAATAAAAACAGAAATCCTGATAATTAAACAATCAGGCCACGATCCCCAGGAGCCTGACTTCAAACACCTGTGACATCTTAGGCAAACAACTAGAGTTTAATGACCAATGGCACCTTAGCCCAAATGGCCAGTGTCAAAAGAACAACTTGCTGGAAGCTGTACTAATTAACATGACCGTGAGAAGCCCGCCCATCTACCCAGAAATGGACCCCATATAAACAGCTCAGGAGTAAGGTTAATCATTCCCCCTGCCCCTTGGACTTGCCCACAGTGCCTTCTGTGGTATGGTCTAATAACTCTTCTGTTTCTCCATCTGGTCTTGCCTGTGCAAAACATATTTCCCACCTTCTGTCACCAGCCTTCTACAGGCCACCTTGGACAGAGCAAGAGTGATCTTTAGCCACTTCAAAGTGGCTTCTCTTTGGAAACAAGGATGATTCCAAAGAGTTATTTGATTTGTTTTTGTTTTAACAGAAGTCGCGTCACTGAAAGTTTTAAACTGCCACTAGAAGGGGCAGAGGCCATGAGCTGTACCTGTCCAGGAGCTTGTCCTGCTGGATAAGGGCTGCTCATAAAGACCATGAGCTGGCTGATGTAGCATGGACTGTGTGATTCCTCTAGAGCAGAACTGTGCAAGGCCAGGTCACCAGGGAAATGGACCCAGATGAAGCCCAGGTTCTGGACAGAACTCTGGAAGCTGTGATGGAGAACGGTCCAGAACTCCATCTGCCCAGTGCTTATGTGAAGCTGACGCTGGTGGCTCAGGGAGAGACAGGCCTGCAAACACAGGAGGGAGAGGAGGATGCTCCCAAGATGAATGAGCAAATGGATACAAAACCAAAAGGGCAATGATACTAAAGGCACAAATGGCTTTTTCCAGTCTTGGTGCATCTCACTGATATTTGTTTTTTTTAAAGATCGTTATGCTTTTGGTGCTACCTAGTTCATAAGAAGAGTTTTGATAGTATGATTGCTTTGTCAAACCTTTGGGTCGATTGGTGTGTGCACAAGCCTGAGATTTAGTACAGGTTCAGATGGAAGACATTTTAACATGTGCATGTGAACAATAACGACAAACTGCCAGATTCAAATATACTATTATTTGCTCTATAATTTCCAAAGTATTCTGATAGCTATTGGCTAAATAAACCAGCAAACTTGAGTGGAAGGGATGGCAGGTGGGGGGAAGGAGAGAAAACATCTAATACTAACTGACTGCTTCCTCAGAACATTGGCCATTTCACAAGATTAAAATAAAATATCTGAGACAACTTCTCAAAACCACTGCAGCAGAAATAGATGAAATAGACATCTGTGTTTTTTTAACAACCATAGATCAGCAGGGCCACTTTCGAAATTAATGTATGCAAGCAGTCTTTTGTGTGACTTCATATCATTCTGCAAAAAAAAAAGTATGTCCCAAATCCCAAATAAAAAACTATCAGAACACTGGGCACAGAACACTACTGCCACAAAACACTTAACATTCCAGGTGAACATTTCCGAACACTGAACTGCCACCCAGAACCATAGCTGAGCTCTTCAGGAACTAAATCTAATATTCAGTGGGGAAAGGGATATAAATACTGGCTAACATGTGATAAGGGAGCAGCTGTTTGTTTTGTCTGTTGGTTTAGTGTGTGTGTGTGTGTGTGTGTGTGTGTGTGTGTGTGTGTATCTGCTGGGGATGGAATCAAGGGTCTGGTGCTTGCCAAGCACACGTTTTACCACTGAGCTGCACCCAGGCCTGTGGTTGCAGTTCTGCAGGTGGATAGAACATCTTACTAGTAACGTGTCGGAGATGATCTTCAGGCCTTCTTCCTGCAGATAGTCCCCATTTCTCTTGTCTTCTCTGGCAGCTTCCCAGACTCCAGAGATGAGAAGGATAAGTTCAATTCCCAGTTTTTTGTTGACCAGCAACTTCCTGGAGAACTGACCTTGACGGAGGAACATCTGGGCATATTTGAGGATGTGCATGGCACTCAGCCAGCTCAGCTGCATGGGAAGAGGGGATGTGGTCAGATGTTCCCTGGCATGTGGTGTGTAGACTCTTGTTTCTTTCCCTGTTACTAAGGGTCAAAACCACTCAACGTGGGGTCAAGGCAACAGAACCCAGCTCATGTTTGGTGTTAGGTGATGAGTGGACACCGTTTCCAGCGAGAATTTGTTCTAGGATGTTTAGTTTCTCCATTCATACAATGGCCAAGGAAAAATATAAGGTCCTTTATAGCCCTTCATGCTTTAACATGGTGTGCATATTTTAAAAAGCATGTCATAAATCCTTTAACATATTGGCCCCAACATCCATTCTTTCCGTCACCCATGGTCTGTGGTCAAGCTGCACTGAACTTTTATCATCCCCCAATAACCAAGGTATTTTTCCCCAATGCCATGTATATTCCTCTACCTGTAATACCTTCACCCTCTGTTTCTCTAGCAAACCCCTCCTTCTCAGCTTCCCTCTTTATAAACTTTCACTATACAACATTTTTGAGAGTTTGTCAAGGCAGAGAGAGTGGGCTAGTGTCACAGCACACCTGTTGCCCTCCTTAGACAATTATTCTTCACTAGCAGCATTTAAGAAATAAGCATATGCTTATTAATTCTTTGGGAATTTTATATGGATACTATGTATTTTGATCCCATTCTCCTCCCACCCCTTCACCTAATTAATCTGCTTACTTTCTCAAAGTCCAATTTGTTACCCGAATATTAATGGGCATGGGATCATCCACCAGAGTGTGATCCATCTACCAGGGACCACACCTTTAAAGAAAACTGACTTTCCCTTCCCCAGTAGCCATCAACTATCCACAGGGCTCAGCTAGGATGCATACTCATGAGCCCCTCCCTTCTCCAGGCAGCATTTGTTCTTACATTCCCTCTTTAGGTTCTTTTTTTTTTATAATGGAAAATCTCAGGCATTATTTTTAACTCTGAATACTTTACTCTGTAAACTGATAAAGACTCACTCTGAAAATGTGCTCACTATGCTACAGTTAAGAGCCACAATTCTGCCTTCCTCATGTAGTAATCCAACAGCTCCTAGCTTATATTGGGGATGATTGACTGTTGCCTGTGACCCTCTCCTAATGAGAGGGCTATTAGCACAGTTTTTGTTTTGTTTTGTTTTTGAGACAGGGTTTCTCTTTGTAAAAGAGCCCTGGCTGTCCTGGAACTCATTCTGTAGACCAAGCTGGCCTTGAACTCACGGAGATTTGCCTGCCTCTGCCTCTGAGTGCTGGGAGTAAATGCATGTGCCACCACCACCCAGGTAGCATAATATTTTAAGGATATCTTTCCATATTTAATTTTATTTATCAGTGTTTATAAGACAGGGATTAAATATCTCCTTCTTTTGTTTTTAGCAGCTTCTAGCAACTATTAAATAAATGTGTGTGGTGAAATAGAGTAGATTCTGTTTTCTTATAGTCACAACTATTTAACCAATAATGAGCAATGACTTAGAAATAGCTTTTAAAGTGAAATTCTTCACCAATCTGTAAAAAAGAAAAAAAGAAGGTAGTTTGGAAGTGAATTTTTTGAGTTTTATTTGTGTATGTGTGTACATTTACATGTTTGTGTGTGTGTGTTTGTGTGTACATTCATATGATCACTTTCCACTTTTTTTTTTTTTTGAGATTAGGTCTCTCACTAAACCTGGAGCTCACCAATTGGCTAGACTGAATGACTAGCAAGGCCCAGGCCTCTCCCGATCTCTGCTTCTCTAATTCTGGGATTATAGGTATGAGATACTGTGCTTAGCTTTTTACACAGGTTCTGGGGACATGAACTTGGCTTCCATGCCTGACCAGAAATCATTTTAATGGCTGAGACATCTCCTCTGCCCCTGGAAGAGCATTTAAACTGCTTATAGAACTAACATCGAAATAGGGTTTAAAATGGAAAGAACTGTCATCCATCAAAACACATAAGGTGCTTTATGTCCAATTTTTGTACTGCACAATTTTTTAAACAAACAAGCAAAAATATCAGGAATGGTTACTTTGGAAATAGTAATCATGTTCAGCTTCATTTCTGAGAGATGGACAAAAGGACCACAGGCAGGCATGGGCCGATCTTTACCACCTTCACCTTCCTGAGCCTTCTGAGGAGTCACGTCTGGGCAAAAACTCCATACTCCAGGTCCTGGAGTCCAAGTGAGGCTATGTGTGCAGCAGTCATCAGGAAAATGTGTGGGATAAGGCTTGTCACTTCCAGGGTGATATTACTGACATGTGGCACACCCTATCTGTGTTCTTCTCCCCTGAATTGGGAAGTCACAGGGTGGAGATGCCAGATGCAAGAGAATGAGAGAGGGACAAGTTGAGTCTCCATGAGAAGGTCATTCACAAAATGCCTTCTCTGTGTTCAGTTACTTGGACACCAGGGCTTTGTTATAGCAGCTAATATTACTTTACCACAGCTTATCCTGGGAGAATTAGAGTTAGAAGACAGATGTGCCCCAAATCCCAATTCAAGTGCTATGTTTATGTGGAGTCAAATGAACTCAGTCATCAGATCCCTGAGAGTTTCATGGAGATTATGGCATTTGAAACCAGATTTGATGAGAAACTAATATTTTCAAAGGAAAAGAAATAACCTGTTCTAGGTTAGGAGAAAACTTACCCCTTCAAGAATATGAGAAACATCTAGAATGACAGAACATAGACAAGGTGGTGTGCAAGGGGAGATACAGAGATAATGAACTGGGCCAGTGAGGTCCTTGTGTGCTGTGTGGAGAATCTATCTGAGCATTATCTATAATGTAGGGAGCCATCAGGCATATTGAGTAGCTGGTGACCTGACCAGATGTGTTTTATGAAGGGAGATGTGTAGAAGAGGGGAGATGTGGTCAAGGGAAGTCCTGCCTTTAAATCCAGATGTGGCATGACTGTTAATCAGTATTAAAGATGAAGAAGAGACTTAGGAGGAAGAATGGGAAAGAGCTGACAGGGTCACCAGTGTCTGTCACTCATTCTACTTCTATTTCTCTGTCATCGTGGCACTCACACTCCAGTGACGGAAAGCAGAAACATAAAGAAATACACAAGACAGCTGCTAAGAACAAAACTACCAAAGGAGACAGCCCAGGCAATGAGGAGAGAGGGTGCAAAGTGACAGTGACATCTGTGAGGCATGTCTAAGGACCATTTTCAGTTCTCTGCTGAGCCAAAGGTAGGGCACCACAGGACAAGGCCAACTACCCTAGTTATTGGCCAGAATAAAGCAAGAGTGTGGTTGGTTGAAGGACCCAGGTGAAGAAAACGTAAATCAAAGGAGACAAAGCATACAGGCTACGGTGAGATGTTTGCGTGTTCCTGAATGTGAACACAAAGCTGTAGAATGGTATTAAGAGAGAGGAAGTGACTAGCTGATTTATTCTTTTCTACATAATGCTCTGATTGTCTCGATTCTGGGTAGCAGTGCTGTCCCATCTTGAGCCAAAGGAAGCAGGAAGAAAATGGAGTGGCTCTCAACTTGGAAATGTGAGTCTGGTTTACAGCACATGAGAGAAGGCTGGGCTGAGGATGTGAAATGCAGAGTCTGATACAATCATGTTGATTTCAGACTAATAATAGGCTAGAAGAGGATGTGAAATGCACAGTCTAATATAATCACATCTATTTAAGACTGATAGACTAGAAGAGGTCTCCAGGAGAGGATGTTGGAGAAACACCGACCATGTCAATATGACAGGGAGGAGGCAACTGGAGAGCCCAGGATGGCAACTAAAAACTGAGTCATGAGGCCATGAAATGAGATCCCTGCCCCCCCCCCCCACCATGCCATGTCCTGTAAAGGAAAAAAAGAGGCTAAGAGGAGCTGTCTAGTAGAATTGGAAGTGTGGAGAATCTTTCAGCTTCAACACTAAGAATATGCAAAGCCATTGCAACTGGTACAGCTGCAGGACGGACAGCGGGCATTGACCGCAAACTCAGGGACCACCTCAATGCTCTACTCTAAAGAGTTGCCTAGAAGTGAGAGCTGCTGGAGAAGGGTGGGCTTTACTAAATGGATATTTAAAGAAATGAATGGGAGTTGTAACATACTTTGAGATCACCTAGAAGAGGGATAAAAGAAGAAGCAGCTGATCATGGACAACCCAAGGAGACAAACACTGGAGAACAGTATGACGGAGATGAAATTATCAGCACCAGCTATTTAGGTTGGACATGTCCCAATCTCGGGGACATCAGTCACACACACACATGCACAGGGTGGACTGGGGCTGCACAGAGTGGTGGTGGGTAGGTTCCTGAGCACAGAAAGGATGCTTTCTGGGAGCCCTGAATTTTATTGTCTAGTGAAAGGGTAAGAAGACAGATGTAATCGCAGCAAGATTTGCTGACTAGTGGCAATGAGGGACACCAATTTAGTTCTTTTGTCATCTCTCAAAGACCAGCATAGTGAAGACACCTATTTATTGAAGGACTCTGGGGAATGTTAAAGATTTGAGAAAACAAAGAGGCGTGGCCATGGGGAAACCCAACACCACAAGTTATCAATAAAGAACAATCCGCCCACCAAAGTGCTTCATACCCCGACCAGGGCACTTGTTGATACCCTTTTCTACTTTTATTTCTGCATGACCAAAAGGTCTCCAGGCATGGCTTGAGATAGATAATGCTGTTCAGAGGAACATTTAGGAGAAAGTGATGTCTCTAATCTCAATAAGATAAATAAAATAAAATTCAAAATCATACATTTATCAAGTCTTGATCATGGCCTTTAAAATTACACAAAATTCAGGAGAATAACACTGAGAAAAAAATAGCCCTTACCTTATTAGGGAAGTTTATGAGGTCTCTCAATATGTGAATAGAATCCATCATTGCTTCCTAAACAGCAGAAACAAGCCAACAAATGGAGAGAGGGGGGGCAGGGAGAGAGATTATCATTATTGCAAACAAAGCTTGATTAGGGACAAATGGAGCACACAGTGTGTTTTTCTATGAAGAGGCTTCCTAGAGGCCAGCCCTTTTGTAGCAAGATCATGACCTTTGTCTCAAAGTTTCCTTCCAGTCCAGCTTGACTCTGATGTGCCTCTGGCCAGCCTTACCAGACCCTAGTAGGAAACTGATACAATAGAAGCTGAAATAAAGGACAGGACTAAATGGAACTTTGAAGAAGTAGAAGAAAAATGTCAGAGGAAGGAAAATTATTAGGTCTAGTAGAGCGAGTATCCTGTAATTCTATTGAAATGTTCTCCAGCGACCATTATAAATCAGAGTTGCAGAAACGCTGTAAGGGCAGTAATCTTTGAGTCATAGACATTTATTAAGAAACTGTACTTGAGGCCGGAAAGATGGTTCCGTGGTTAAATGCACTGGCTGCTTTTCTAGAGGACCAAAGTTCAATTCCCAGCACCCATGGTGACTCACAGCCATGTGAGACACCAGTTCCAGGGGATCCAATGCTTGCTTCTGGCCTCCATGAGCACCAAGAACACAGATATATGCATAGGCAAAATAACCATACACAAGAAATAAGTAAATCTTTAAAAACTTAAAAACATTGATTTTTCCAAAAAAGGAAGGAAGGAAGGAAGGAAGGAAGGAAGGAAGGAAGAAAGAAAGAAATAAAGAAAGAAAGAAAGAAAGGGCGGGCATACAATTTTTACTTTATCCCTTGGCTTATGGTTGTTAACAGAAAAACATTAAATTTATGCATGCTTTTTATTCATAAAACGCTAGGAGAATTATCCATAATGATAGTCAACCCTAGCGACCTGCATACCAGGTCCCCTTTCCTGCCTGGGTTGTAGGAGCAAGAGTCCTTGCTGAGAAGGCAGCTTTCAAAGGACTGCTGCTGTCCAGGTTTCTAGACACTCCCTGCCCTGCTCAGGGCCGTACCTGGTCTGTGGAAGGTAATTTGCATGCTGAAGAAATCAATACATCCTGTATCTGTGACCATAGGCCACACATAGATGTGTTTTTGCTCTCTACATACAAACGACTCAGGATTGCAGTGGTCATGGCGATGTAGTTCCTGATTTCTGTGTAACTCCCCACCAGCTGGAGAGAAGACAGGGTTTCCAGAGTGGAGCTGTATCTGAAGGAAACACAGAACTATGCATGATGGTTTGAAGACATTGTAAAACTTACTCTGCCAAAGGGGGAGTGGAGTTTGTTCTTGAGTCTGAACCAAAAAAAGAATGACATGAAGGAGAGGTGGTCTGTGTAGGGGAAACTCAAAACACAATTAGATATGTTACCAAATCCTAACAACACATCACCCTTGATTAGAACTGAAAAACACAGGATGCCAAACAGATACCAGTATACAAGCATCATGACAAATGAAGGAATGTGGCCCAGAACTAAAGACACAGTGGCTAGAGCTAGTTGAAATAGTTCAGGCAGCCTAACCATTAAGAGCTCATTGTGTTCAGACCCAAATTAGAGGGGAAAGATACATCATATTTATGGCTGTGTACAAAAATCACAGGTTTATGACTTCAGATTTTATTAACTGGGCATTTTACTTATTTATGAATGGAATGGTAAACTTATTTGCAGTTGGAAAGGAAACCTCATGTCTTATAGTCCTGTGCATGGGGCCAGTGCCTTTCCAGCCCTTGCTCTACACTGTCTTTGTCATATGACTGAAAGACACCATTTACTTGAATAACTCAGCCGGAATCTCCAAAGATAAAACAAACTCCAACTAAATAAAAATGCTTGGTGAGCAATAAATCACATACTAAGCAATATGACATGTTGACTAAAGACTGTAGGAAACCAGGTGAAGGAGAAAACACACAAATGAGTCTGAGAAGAAATAGCACAGATTGCACAACTAGGGAAAATATGTTTTACAGATTTAGTCTCCTACAGTCAATAATCATACAAATAAAACACCAAGTAAACAAAAGCAGTCCCAGGAAGCCTCGGAAAACCAGGCCCATACCCAGAGAGGCAGAATTTATTATACAGGAGGTGCAGTTTTCAATGGAATCTTATGAGTCTGCCAAACAAACTTTAAAGTCCAACCCAAACACAGGAAAAACAATAGACGACAGGAACTTGTTATTAGAAAACCCAAATGATGGATTGATCAAAGACTTCAAAGCAGGAATCATAAATATGTTCAAAGAACTAAACACAGCTAATTTTGAAGATTAAATAAAAGTATTATGGTGACTGATCAAATATAGAATAGAAATGAAGAAAAGCTATACATTTTCTACAAAATCAAATGGAATTTCTGGACCTATATGTACATTAACAATAATGAAAATTCACTGCAGAGTTTGAAAAGCAAATTTGAGAAAAGCACCTGTGAATCTGGGGACTAAACAATAGAGATAATGAACAACAAGCAGAAAAATAGGAAGAAAATGAACATAGGTTTGTAGAAATGCTGAATGGCAAGTTTAAACTTTTTCTTTCTTTGTTTAACAAATCCATTGCATAAGATAATGTCTATAACATGCTATGGTTGAATCTATAACAAGTAGGCATCAATTCAGACAGATATATTAAGGAACCTAGAATGGTTATACTTATATCATGCTAAAAAAATAAAAGAACCAGGGAGAAAGTTTCAATGATCCAGAGGGAGATTTTCTAATCATAAAATGGGGCAACCCACCAGGAAGGTAAAAGTTCTAAATATATAATCAGTCGAAGTGTGAATAACAAGGGAAGGAGTGCTCATCCCTCATCTGTGTTAACTGCATCATCTTCAAGGCTTAGGAAGCATGGTGGAAGAGTCAGAAAGCATGTAAGAGCTGGAGGATGGGGAGGAGTGCTGTGAATGCTGTTCTCTGGACATGACATGACTGTCACAATCATGAGTTTACAGCAGCCATGGTTACCTGTACAAGACCTACACAAGATCAAGCCAAGCACAAGCCCAGCATAGACCGGGAGATGATCTCAACTCTACCCCTGGCTAAGGAGCTGTTGGCCGTGGATAGTTCCTGGGGTGGGAGACTTACTCTTTTTTCAGGATGGGGCCACTCAGAGGATTCCCATGCTCCAGTGGTTAGCTCCACTCCCATGGGCAGCACATGGATTGTTTGAAACGAAAGATATGAAGTAGGGGGTGTATTGGGGCAAAGGAGAGAATTGGAGGGGAAGTTTGGGCAGAGATATTTTTCTTGTATATAATATGAAATCCTGAAAAACATTTAAAAACTTAAAACCCTAGTGCACAAGTGCTCACAATGCATTATTAAACAGAGAATGCATTATCACACTACAATGTGCTCACAATTGCCTAAAGACTTAACACTGTGGAGTTATACAAAACAGTTATGAAAATAGGGCATCTAACAAGAGAAAAAGAAACTGGTGACACTGGAGGGACAGGAAGGACTTTAAAGCTAATAATGCTATCAGTAATGGACAGAATGACAGCAGGAGATCAACAAGGTGTGTAAAACTCAAGATGAATGTGATCAAACACATTATATATGAATATATTAAAAAGTAAGTAAATTTGTTATTTATTTTATGCATATGGGTATTTTGCCTGCGTGTGTGTCTGTGTACCATGTGTGTGCCTGGTGTATTTGGAAGTCAGAAGAGGGAATTAGATCACCTGTTAAGAGTTGGTTGTGAGCCAACATGTGGGTGCTGGAACTAAAACCCTAGTCCTTTGCAAGAGCTACAAGCAAGTGCTCTTAAGTGCTGAGCCATCTCTCTAGCCCCCAAAGAATAAATTTTTGAAATATTCACAAAATAATCTTTAGGCCATAGAGATGACTCAGCAGGTAAAGATACTTTTTATGAAAGCCTAATAACCTGAGTTTGATCCTTAGAACCTAGATAGAGATGGAAAGATTCTCCAAAGTTGTCCTCTGACCTGCATGTATATGCCATGTCATGAAATCAGAGTTAGGAAATGCACTTTAGCATTTATGGTTTGTTCCAGTTTGCTTTCTATTGCTGTGGTAAAACACTAACCAAAAACAAACTGGGGAGGATAGGATTTATTTCATCTGACAACTTCCATGTCACAGTCCATTATGGAGGGATTTTAGGGCAGGACTTCAAGGCAGGAACCTGGAGGCAAAAACTGAAATAGAGCCAAGGAAGAACACTGCTCACTGTCTTGTTCCCCATGGCTTTCTCAGTCTGCTTTCTTATATAACCTAAGACCACCTGCCCAGGGTAGGTGTGGGACACCACCCACAGTAGGCTGGGCATTTGCACATCAATCATTAAGCATGAGAATGTCCCACAGGCTTGTCTACAGGCCAATTTGATGGAGACATTCTTTCAAGGTTTTGTCTTCCCAGATGACTTCAGTTGGCATCGAGTTGACAAAAACAAAACAAAACAAAACAAAACAATCCACAAAACTAAGCCCAGCACAGTCAGCACAGAGGAAAATGACTTGCCTCAGTCAGCGCTGGTGGGAATGATAAATAGTGCAGCCCCTCTGGAGAAGTGCTAAGCAAGAGGGATCGTATGACACATGGATTCTACCCACGAGAAATGAAAATGCTCACCCACACCAAAGCTTGCAGAGGATCTTCAGAATAACCTGACTTACAGACTAAAAAATATTGGCAATGCCATGTGTTCAATGAGTAAACAAATTGAGTCAATAAAGTAAATATTATTGAGTAATTAAAAAATGAGGTACTGATTTCTGCCATATCATGGATGAAACTCAGCAGTATTCATATGTGAAATGAAGAGGAACACTCAAGTGTATATTTTTCATCATCCTGTTGACATGAAATTTCTAAAATATACAAATCTTTAGACACAAAGATTTTGGTTTGGGGGGTTGGGGTTGATGATTCAGGAGTGACTACTGTTTAATACAAAGATGTTATGATAACCAAATGTCCCCAAACTAGACCATGCTAAAGGCCACAGTGCTCTGTAGATGTGAGGAATTTCAATAGGGAAGCTAGGTAATGTATAAATGATACTTCAATTAAATTGGTTAATGGATAGATGGCTCAGTTGTTAAGACCACTTGCTGCTCTTTCAGAAGACCCAAATTCAGTTTCCAGAACCTATGTAGGTGGCTCATATAGGCCTCTACTCCAACTTCAGGGGTTCAATATCTTCTTTGGGGCTCTCAGGTACCCCCACTACCCTCCCAAAGATGCATAAATTAAATACATCTTGAAAACATGTTTTCAAATGAAAAGAAAGAACTCCAGGGACCCTGAAGCATGTTCACAGTGTCATGTAAGTGGTGTTAAACAGACAGGTCCTGGGTAACCCTGGCTTTTGCCTAGCAAGAGAAGAACAATTTATGTTGTTCTTTTAGTAATTCTTTGCATCTCCCAGGGAATATAACCTCTGTATTAGGATGTCTTTGTTGCACCCTATTACTTACAGGTCCTTGTCAGGGCAGTCATTTCCATGGTAACGGGGCAGCACAGTCACTTCCACAGTGCATGGCTGCACCTTGGAGCCTTGGCCATCTGTGATCTCAGTAGAAACAATGACTGTGAAAGAATATGACAGAGGAGTGTCATCCCAGACACTAGCTGTAGAGAAGTGTCTTCATACACCATCAGCAGCTGAATAGTATGGATAATGGTGACAGGGTACAGATGGGGCAAAATTCAGGCAAGCCATTTTCCCTCCCACATTATACACACTGAGGATACCAACAAATCTGTAAATAGAATATCTGTTAAGCAAAACTATGAGCTATAGTGGTGATGGCTTTTTATTTTAAAGATTTATTTTATTGAAAATAGCTTTTTCATATAATATATTCTGATTTCTCTGACCCTTCCCCCAACCCCTATTAGATCCTCCTTACCCACCCAAATTCACACTCTTTCTTGCTCTGTCTCTCACTGGAAAATAAATAGGCATCTGAAAAAAAAGGAAAGGAAGGAAGGAAGGAAGGAAGGAAGGAAAGAAGGGAGGAAGAAAAGAAAGAAAGAAAGAAAGAAAGAAAGAAAGAAAGAAAGAAAAGAAGCCAGATAAAGCTATATTCAATGGTCAGTGTGGTGCTGAGCCATACAGAGAGGCATCCTCTTGCAGGAGAGGGGAACAAACACAGAGACCCATAATTGGACAATGTACAGAGAGTGAGAGGCCTTGTAACACTTAGTCCTATATGGGATGACTCCACCAAATCCCTTTCCTCAGGGTTCTGGGAACCCTGTGGAAAAGGAGGCAGAGAGAGTGTAAGAGCCAAAGGTGATGGAAGACACCAAAGAAACAAGACCTTCTAGACACAACAGGATTGTTCCACATATGAACTCACAATCACTGTGTCAGCATGCACAGGGCCTGCACAGATCTAAGCCAGGTGCATCTCAGTGCTGAGAGAGGAAGTAGACACAAGCCTCCATCCCTAACCCTTATGCTATCTCCAGCTGATAACTCCTTGTAAAGGAAAAATTGGTTCAACAGAGTCTCCCTGGGCCCCATGCCCAGGAACAGATAGCCAACACAAAACAAATTTGGTCATATTTTTTGAGTTTTTTTTGTCTTATAAAATTTATTTTTAATTATGTGTATGTGTTTATGTCAGGGAATGCACATGTAAATGCAGGTGCTCTTGGTGGTTAGATGAGTGTACTGTATTTCCCAGGGTTGGAGCTACAGGCAGTTGTGCTGGGAATCAAACTCAGGTCTTCTTCAAGAGCAGTGCATGCTCTTAACCACTGACCTATCACTATCACTCCTGCCCCATGGTAATGGCTTGTTTACCAGGGATTCAAAAATAAGGCATGGTATGAGAAAATACCTCAAGATTCTTTTGTCCTTCTGGGAAGACCTCACAGTCCAACCTAAGATCTGAACGCCATAGTAAGGTCAGTGAGTGCTCATCAGGTAAGGGGTCAGGGAGTGTCACAGACAGGCAGACAGGCAAATGCCATCCCCATGTGCTGCAGAAGGTGGAGGTAAGTCATCATCCATTCACAAGGTCATGGTAGGTAGCACCATTGCTGCCTGCAGAGTGTCCCTATCTACAAAAACACAAGGTGTGCTGAAATGCAGTACCAGGGTCATGGGGAATGTAATCCTGACTCTGCAATGCACAGTCCAGTGTTTGTGTCACATTTTAACTAGTTCTTAGATGATGGAGGCAGATTTACAGGCAAAGGTAAAGAAGAATTCTGAGGGGAGGTTTGCATAAAAAACATCTGTATGTATCTAGCAAGAAATGGCTACTGGATGGACCTAGGAATCCCTTCGTGTAACAAAGGCTCAAAGGTGTGATGAGACCTGATGGAGATGTTGCAGTCTGGGTGATGGCCACAGGTAGAGTTGTATCACACAGGAAGATCAGCACATATGTGAACCCTGGGTATCTACATAGTAGATTCACTTGAAATCCAGTACTAAAGGTTGGAGACTTAACTTGATGTCAGTTCTTTTAAGGATGTGGGCCCTGGGCATGTGTATTCCAATCACTGAGGAGCCTAAATTCTGGACTCTACCTTCCCCCAAGATTCTGAGCCAGTAGTTACTATGTGAGCCCCTGAAACTACCAGTTTAATAAGTACCCCACTGTAGATAATGCACTTTGAATCAAGAGAGTATGGGAGAGAAGGAATGGGTTTTAGATAAGACTTAATTTGATATGACTCTGCCATATTCACTCATGCAAAAGATGGGGCAAGATAAGAAACATTGAATATCCACTCCAATGCATTTATTTTGCTTAACGGCTCAATTTATCCTGTTGTAAATTATGAATTCAGATAGTCATTGGGATCTAATGTAACAACAGTTACCAGTACTTATCACACACATATAAAGGATTTGAGCAACATTTATCTGACACTGTCCCAGACCTGTGACCTAAGATTTAGACCTATAGATTTATGTTAAGACATTCTTCATTCCAACATGGTGCTGAGTCCCTGACTCGAGGTCTTCTATTTAGACGTCTATCTAACTCTGTCAACTATGGTTGTCTGGTGGAAAGAGGTTCTCCCGCCCCTACTTGCAGCTCTCAGGTAAGGAACATATCAGGTGTTGTATAACTCGCACCATAAGAGGGATGCTTATTGTGGTTCATCTTTATCTAAGGCAAATGCTATTCTGACCCAGCTCTAGCCACCCCCAAGAAGTGGGAGTGTTTGGCCAGAGCAAAATTTCCAGAAGGCAGGTGAGTGCAATTTTAGTATTTAAAGGTTTATGGATGGAAGATCCTTGAATGCCACCTTCATTTATTCCGCAATGACTATTGTGCTGGTTAGTCTGTTTGCTTGGCTTTAGGAAAACTCAAGTTCAGATGCAAATATAAAACCATCATCATGCTAATCAGAACATAATTCTAAAGCTCAGAGAAGTTTGCTCAGTGTGACTGGAGTCTGGGAGAAAAGGAAAGTTTGGAGGAGTCGGGAAAGGTGTCAGCAAGAAAATACTTTGTTGACTTTAAAGAGGAAGTGAGATTCAAGTACATCAGTTAGATGAACCAGTGCAGACTTTGGGCTGAACTTACTATCTCAGATCGATGAAACTTCTACATTACTGGCTTTCATTCATGCCTATACATTAGAATCACAGAGAAGTTTAAAAATAAAAGTAAAATACAGGTCATTCCCATTAACCAGTCTGGATTGTGTGAAAACAGACACTTTGTCAAATGGTCACATGCCTTACGAGTGACATCAGGTGACACCAGGCCTCAGGTGTGGGATTGTTTCTAGTATTCTTTCTGTATTAAAAGACAGGTAAAGGGCCTGATTTCACTGATGTGAATAAATGATTTAATTTCTAGGCCCCTCTAATATTTTGTAGTTGTTAGAAACCAGGAGAAAGTATTTGAAGGGATAAGTAGGCATATCTAGCCACATAGTTGACACTGTGACTTACCTTTGTAATTGTCTAAGGTCTCACCAGCTGGCAATAAAAAGTAGTACTGGGTGTCTCGTCCACGGTACAGGGTATGTGGAGAAGTGTTTCCTATCTGGTATCGAAATTCGTAATGAAAGTCCTATGATCGAATCCAAGGGAGAGAAAAAAAAAAAACAAAACAGGAAACTGAACACACTGTGGATGGAATCACCAATCAATGCCACACACCTCCACCCTCCTGGCCACTGTTGTCATGTTTTGCAGCCCAGACCAGTATGCCTGCATCATCCTCAGTACACAGATGGGAGAGGCCTCCTGGCACTGTAAGGCTCGTCTGCTCTGAAGCCAAAGTCACATGAAGCAGGTTTCTGCAGTTGGGTCACCTAGCTCTCTTGTCTTTGGACCCCCTAAGACAGTGGCTCTCTGTGCACGACGAGATTTCTGAGAAGGAACATGGGAAGAACAGGACAGGGAGAGATGGTGTCCATAGCCAGAGGACCGTGACTGGAAATTCACAGTCCCATATTGGCCGCCATCTGACTTCAAAGGGGGCCTCAGGCCCTTCACACCTCATTCTCCCCAGATCCTCACAAGACCCTCTTCAAAAATGTAGAGTGACTTCTACACTGTCTAAATTAGGACAAAGAGGTCAAGTGTATGTCACAGACATGTGCTGGTGAGGGAGTTAGGCCTCAGGCTGAGTCCCCCACCCACAATTTATATGTCCATAGGTAATAGAGCCTCCCGAGTTTGCAGCAAAGCCCTGTAAGGATCCTCCTCTTCTAATGAGTAGGCTGGTTGTACTAGCAGGAGAAAGCCCCATTCATATAGGAATGACTTCCCCACATTGCTGGGCAGGCCCAGCCCTGCAACCCACCATGCAAAGAACTCTTGTGCTTTCCAAGAGCTGTGGTTGCCTGCACACCTTGGGACAGACAAGGTTCTGACATACCGGTTTCCCTGACATGCAGAAGACACTGAAGATGGTATGTGCTTCCAGACCACTGTGGGGTCGCACCTGACAGGACATGTCTCGTGGAACTTGGTTGATGGTTATGTAAAGCTGAGCTTTGCCTAGTAAGGCATGCTTTGAAGCTAAGAGAAGGACAGGATGAGGATTTCAGCCAGCATATAGAACAATAGTGGAAAATATCTATCTATCTATCTATCTATCTATCTATCTATCTATCTATCTATCTTACACACACACACACACACACACACACACACACACACACACACACACACACACGTTTCCCATGTCCCAGCTTGTGTCTGGAATCTGCTGTAAACATCTGTCTGAGAATTCTCTGGGAAGATGTACTGCAACAGGTATAATTATTACTCCCAAGTGATTAAACACCATGTTGTATATTTTCTGCTTTATTAATCACCCTACAATAGTTTATTACCATTCACAATTTTTTAAAAAGTAATATATTCCTAGGATAAATTATGAGCTGGGGCTTTCTATATCACATTGTCAAAAATTCTCATCAGGTTCTGTGGGGACTGTTTATGTGGCCTCTGTCAGGAAGAACACTCTGTCTGTGCTTCCTATTTAACAGTGATGTGACAACACTGGCCACAGAGAATAGGCCTCTCGACACAAGTGAAATCCAAGAGGATGTGGTGATTAGTTCTACCTTATGGAGCAGCCAAATCCCTGCAGAAGAAGCAATTAGAACCAACAACCCTGGGGTATGAATAGTTTTCCAGGCTAAGAAAGAGATATAGGGGCAAGAATATTCTCCCAAAATAACACAAAGGACTGCCACACTGTGCCATGTGTGATGGAGAGCATAGGAGAGTGAAGTTGTTAGGGAGGCTTTGTGTGAGCTAACTGATGGACAGCTGAGAGGACACCTGACACCTGAGCTAAGCTTTCCCAGGTAGCAGCGGACACTGAACAGGACCTGGGGACCATGGGAAGACTCTCAGGAATCTCCTGTATAAAGAAGGTACATGGCCTAAGAGAATGGCTTTTAGTTTGCCCATTGGTGGATTTCAAAACTGGGGAGAGGGCATGGCACATGAGCTACTAAGAAGCAAAAGTATCCCTTAGAGCAGAAGCAAGCATTGTCTCGGTGTGGGCAGAAGCAGGGATCAAGGCCTATTGTCTGGACAGGGCAGGCAGAGGTTCACAGCAGTGGTGAGAATCAAGAGCCAGTCTTTGAAATATCAGGAAACAGCCTTTTGCTTCTTCCTTGGGGGATGTGTAGAAACCCAGGAGGCAAAACTGGAAGTGTACAGTAAGTGCTTATGACCTTGAACTTGTCATCCTCTTCCCTCGGCCTCCCAACTGCTACTATTACAGCTGGGCCACTATGCCTGGCTCATGGTGGGCCCTAATGAATGCAAAGATGTGGATGAAGAATCTATCCTGTGTATCAATTGAATCGTTTGTGCTTGTTAAACAGGACTGAAAGTCTCCAGAAATGGGGAAACGTTTAGAAGTTACCCAAAAGAACGCTTTCAGATTGAGTCATGGAAATGCAGGGAGAGTTGTGGGGCACTGAGCAGTGTAAACCTTTGGATAAGTTCCAGCTCACGCTGAGCACTCAGAAAAATGGCAATAACACGTGCTTGGGATTAAATATATGCAAGGAAGGGGACCTACTCAGGTAGTTTGAATGTAATTGACTTCCATAATATTATAAAGGGAGTGGCACTATTAGGAGGTGTGGCTTTGTTGGAGTGGGTATAACCTTGTTGGAGGAAGTGTGTCACAGTAGGAGGTGGGCTTTGAGGTTTCCTATGCTCAAGATACTGTCCAGTGTGTCAGTCAACTTCCTGTTACCTGCAAGATGTAGGACACTCATAACAGCCGAACACGTGCTTGTCCGACCTTGTCTTAGTCACTAGGTTAGATGCCTGCCTCGTGGCAAGGAACCAATCAGAAGTTAGCTGGTGGTGATGCATTTTATGGCCCTGAGTGTGCTTTACGGACAAGCGCACAGCAATGATGCACAGAGCATAGCAACCACCTTGGGAGGGCCTATGGGCCATAGCAATCAGTTGACCAACCAACACAGGGCAAACCCTCCAAGCCTGTAGGCACACCAATCCTGAGCCTGTGCATACCCCTAGACACTCCCCTTACACTGCCCTATAATATCTCTATGCAGATGCTTCGAGCTGTCTTGCCTAGCCATCCACCACTGTGGATAGATGAAAAACCTGAGCTAACATGGGGTTAGCTCAGTAAACAACTATAATAAAGCCTCGGGCTGTTTGCATCAAAAAAAAAAAAAAAAGATGTAGGACTTGTCTGCCTACGTGCTGCCATGCTCCCGCCATGCAGATAATGGACTAAATCTCTGAACTTTAAGCCAGCCACCCTGATTAAATGTTTTCTTATAAGAGTTGCCATGGTCATGGTGTCTCTTCACAGCAATGAAAACCCTAAGACATAGCAAGGAGACTCATATTTGAGCAAAGGAAACAGGAAGTGTCTCTTTTTCCCCTTCCTCCTCCAGTGACGGGATGTGAGCCACCAGCAAGGAGGAACGACAATAAGACTTATCCGATAAGATAAGTCTTATAAGATATATAGATTTATGATAATTAAGACTGAGTTAACAGATGAGAATCCTAGTCATTGGCCAAGCAATATTGTTCCTAATACAAGTCTCTCTGTATTAATTTGGGCCCTAACTAGGGCGGGCGGCGGGGCTCGGGAGGCTTTTGGTGGAAAGATTTATTGTAACAATATGGCAGCAGGACAGAATGGGAGAAGTGAGGCCCAGGACAAGGGGTTGCAGTGGAGAGTCACTGCTATTTCCAGTAGAAAATATAATGACCAAAGCCTTCATGGTTCCCCACACCAGCTCCAACTTGTACTTCAACATACCTGCCGAAGCCTGTAAGACATACATCTCACCACTGCTCAATGAGAATGGTTTTATTGTCACAGCTGGTCCCACGATACCTACAAAAGAGGAAGTGTCCACATGAAAATGGCAGTCAGTGGGCTCTCAGGAGTGAGCCCCACCCTTGATCCAAGGGTATAAGTAAATAATACCCTGGTTATATGTTGTGGTTTGAATAGGTTATCATCCCAATAGATGCATGTGGGAGTGGCACTATGAGGAGGTATAGCCTTGTTAGAGTAGGTGTGTGTGGCCTTGTTGGAGGAAGTGTGTCACTATGGGGGTAGACTTTGAGGTCTCATATGCTCAAGCTACACAGTGTGGGATGAAGTCTCTTTCTGCTCTCTGTGGATCAAGATGTAGAACTCTCAGCTACCTCTCCAGCACCATGTCTGCCTGCATGCCACCATGTTTCCCACCATGAGTATACGAACTAAACCTCTAAAAACTGTGAGCCAGTCCCAATTAAATGTTTTCCTTTATGAGAGTTGCTGTGGTCATGGTTACTTTTTACAGCAATAGAGACCCTAAGGCAATGCTCTGTTCATACTTGGGAAGGACACTTATCTGTGGGTTATCAGCCTTCTTTGAGGAACCCAAATCCCTATCTGCAGGCCATCCTCACCCAATGGAAGCATTATTGAGGTGGACCAGTCACCCTCAGCTCAGAAATGAGGTAGATCTCCCTACCAACAAGAGAATGCTGATAAGATCTCATCTTGTACATTAACAGTAAGCTCAGTTTATTTATTGTATATACAGGGTTCTGCCTGAATGTAGGCTTGCATGCCAGAAGAGGGCACCACATCTCATTAGAGATGGTTGTGAGCCGTCATATGGTTGCTGGGAGTTGAACTCAGGATCTCTGCAAGAGCAGCCAGTGCTCTTAACCTCTGAATCATCTCTCCAGCTCAGTTATGAAATTTTTTAACTCTTCTCCTATAAGAGTCAGCTGAACCATCCTGCTTAGCCTTCCTCAAAATTGGGAGAGATCTAAGACACAAGACAGATGATTAGAGAGCAAGGAGAAAATCACCTAAAGTTAGCATGAAATCCATAGCTTCCCCCAAAGGCTTATGGGGATGACCTACACACATGTAGTACTCAGAAAGGCAGTGACCCACCAGAGCAGACAAACCAACATGCCTGTGCTGGGGGAGACAGGTTAAAAATTCCTTTTCACCACAGGGCCAGCTTTACTTGATCCACCCATGAAAATGGAACATCTGATCTATACAAGGTCTTAGAGACAGGCACATGATGGGTTGTCACCCAGAACCAAAGCTCCCTGCTGATCTGCAACTGGGGACTCCTAGGGGACAGCTGCAGCTAGCTTCATCTTTGGAGAAGGATTCAAGGATTGTGGTCCACAGAAGGACAAACAGAAAAGGCTGGATGGTTCCACTCATCCATTAAGACAAAAGTCTAGGGAGAACTTGAGGGCTGATTCCCAAATTCTTCTGAAATGGCTGTGAATCCAGGGTGCAAGGAGCATGTTCATACCTGAGGAGGTGTAGCCGTGGAATACAGCTCGGCTGACCAGGGTCTTGGGCCAGTCGATCATGAAAGCTGGCTTTTCTCTGCCTGTGTGGAGGAAAGGGCCCAGTAGGTTGTCCCCATCACTGGCACTCTCCTCGGCATCCATGCTTGGTCCTGATTCCTGGAAGTTGGTACCGGACCCTAGGAAGATAAACCATGCCACAGGAGAGAAAGAGAAAGGTCATAGTCTTGTGAAGCATGAATGCTTCCAGGTTGATGCTAATACCGATTTCTGTGGTTGCCAGACATGGTACGTCTCAAACAATGCCTTTAGTAGATGTGCATATTCAAGACCTGTATCTTAGTGCCTTATAATCAACTTCCCATTAGCTCCTTTCTGAACTTTCCCTCTCTCTTCCCTCCTTCATCTTTTCCTTCCCCTCCCTCCCTCACCTTCCTTTTTCTTCCATTCCACCTTGTAATCTGAAATTTCATAATGCAAAGTCAGACAATGATAAATGACAGGAAAAACAGCAGATTCACAGAGAAAGCAAGTGTGGGGAACAGATGTGGACTTCTGTTGGGGGGGGATTCTGCTGGAGCAGTGGGCAGGGATTCAGGGAAAGGATGTATTCAGTGGAGATCTGGAGTAAGTTTCCAGGTTGAGTAGAAACCAAGTGTGATGGGAATGATCCTCTGTGGGTGGCTGAAGACAGAGAATGTCTTGAAAATGGCAGGAAGCCACCAGTAGTCAGAGGAAACTGGCCATCTGCTTTGTGTCTGAGAAAGTTCCCTGGCTTCTGTGTAGAGATGTGACTGCAGGTGTCAGGCACAGAGGCAGAAATCCACTATGTAGTCTGGGGAGGAGTGGCATGGGACAGTGCTCGACAGACTGAAGACTTCAAAGAAGACCACAGAAACAAGACATCATACCAAAAATCCTTGAGGAACTAGGATGACTCCTGTCAGAAAGTCATGCTATAAACAGGAGAAGATAATGTCTATTGTGTCCATTTGCTATCATTGATTTGGCACCTGCCATACATAAGCAGGACCCCTGAAACAGACCTGTGTATGTATTATAAATTGTAATTTTTCTGTATGATTTTTATGGCTTGAATATGTAGTTATCCTCACAGGTCCATGTTAAATAGTTGGTCCCCAGCTGGTGGTGCCAGTTTTGGAGGTTCTGGAAAGCTTGGAAGGTAGAACCTAGCTGTGAAAAATTCACTGGGGGTGGGTCCTTGGTGGTGTGCTGTCCCTGGTCCCTTCCTATTTGGCCTGCTTTCTGTCCACCATGGAGAAAACCCTCTTTATACACACTCCCACTGACATGACTTTCTACCAGGAGCATGGAGCCAAGTGACCATAACCCAAACCCTGGGAAGCCATGAGGCAAAACCAGTGACAAGAAAGCCAACCAATGCAATCATGCCTCAGTATCCTACAAACAGACCAAACAACAGCAACGCCCACCTTTCTGGCTGGAAAGAGGCCACCCATCCTGACCTAGCCAATCCGAAGTGATAGCAAGGGCCTAGTCAGGAGTAGGTCTACCTGATCTATGACCAGCACCCCACCCCATCCTGCTGTACACTCTGGGCAACAGTCCTCTGCTTACTCATCCCAGAGCCATGTGCCAGGTGACTGGCTACCAATGCTGTACATGACATCACTCCCTCTGTCCACAGCCCACTGGAATCACTCTGACTGCCAGATCCTGACATATTGCCTAACTTGTTCCTCTCTTTGAAACCCTAGTGAAGCCAGGTAGACACAGAAAGACATCATAGGTCCAGAAGCCACCTGCTTAGAAGAGATAGGGGTGGAAACAGTAACTAACAGGGGTCATTGCAGTGCTGAGGGAGAATTCAAAGTGGGGAGGGAGAGGGAACCCCCAAGAAGAATGATGAACAAGATGGCAAGGTGGAAAGGGCACTCAGGGAGGCCTACTAGACAACAGTCAGCATGCCAGGCACCTCAGGTCTGGATTGCCTACTGTTCCTGAGACCACTGGGAGTTTGGGAGCAGAGGGCCAAAGATGTGCTGCAGTAAGTCAGTCAGGAGTGAGGTCTGTGCTATGAAGAGGGGCTCGCACTATCCATTTGAAAATTCTCTGGGGGAGTTTTAGGTGGCCTTGATGGAAGGGACAAACATGAAGCATCCCTGAAGGCTGGTACACATTGAACCTGGGTTCAGGACGCTTCTACAGGAGGACAATCATAAAAGTACTTACCTGGCTGTCTTCCTAGGGATGGCACATCTTCTTGGATGTCACTATAATAGGCTTCGAAATCTATACAAGAGGGGGAAATGACATTTGTTTGAAGACCCAATTAGTGAGCACAGAAGGCTGTAGACTAAAACCCCTCACACCAAGATCCTGCAAGGCTGAAGGAATACAACGTCATGATGCTGCAGAGTTTGCAAATCAGAACCAAACTATCCAAACAATTTTTAGTCCCCTTAAATTGTCATCGTTATTCACTTTCATGTCAGACTAAACATCTTTTTGACTATAGGTAAAACATTTAAAATGCATTCTTAGCAGAGGTCGGTTTGCTACCAGACCACAGCAAAAAATGTTGTCAGTCCAAAACTTATATGGTTTTCCCCCCACGTGACTGGTAGTTCCCCTATTCAAAATGTATTGGATACAACTTTCTTTGTTGTATAACTAATCAAATATCATGTAACCACGTCCATTGTGGAATACCAAAATGCCAGCACTTGAACAGTGAAGACAGGAGGATCAGGAATTCAAGCTTAGCCAAATAGGGAATTGGAGGCCTGGGCTACGTTAGAACCTGTCTCAAAATAACAAAAACAGAATACTGTTTGATTGCTCTGAGGTTGAAGCTGGGCTCTGCATTATGAAAACAGTACTCTTAGACTCAGGACCTTTGTGGGAGTGACTTCAACCTGTCTCATTTGATTTATTCCTTCCCAGGTGCCTACATATAAGGAACAATGTGTAGAGATGGTGGCACTTACCATCAAAGGCAGGGGAGGAGCTGGAAGGGGGCCAGCTTCCTTCTGGAGTGCTCATCATCAAAGCTTGCTCATCCGAGGAACCTGGGGCTGGACTCAGTGAGCCATAGTCCTCCATAGGCTCCCCTGAGCCTGCCAGGGGACCCACCACGGGAATGTGGTGGCCACCTGCTGTGGACTCTGTGGAAGTGCTTCCCAGGTTGGGAAGAGTTGTCCAGCTCAGGGGCATGGGTGACCGCTGTGGTGAGTGTAGTGTCAGTGGTCCTCTGGGGTTTGACTGCAGGCCTGACTGAGACAACTTCAGAAGGGCCCCAAATGCCGAGCTGCCCAGTAGCCCCACAGTGCTGCAGAAGGGAACTTAAATACAGGTGACAGGGTTAAAATTCCATGCTGAAAAGACAAAATATTGGTCTTCAAAAAATATATAGGCTATGGGGGTCAGTGCAAGATGGCTCAGCTGGTAAAGGTGCTTGCTGCTGAAGTTTGGAGACCTTACTCTGATATCTAGAAGTAATGGTGGCTACCCTCCAATATGCACTATGGCACCCCCATCCAACACACACACAAACCACACACACACACACACACACACACACACACACCACAAACATACACACACACACACACACACCACACGCTCATACCACACACATACCACACACAGACATACACCACATACACACACACAATACACCACACACACACACACACACACACACACACACACACACACACCACACACACACACACACACCACACACACACACACACACACCACACACACACACACACACACCACACACACACACACACACACCACACACACACACACACACACCACACACACACACACACACACCACACACACACACACACACACCACACACACACACACACACACCCCACACACACACACACACACACACAATACACCACACACATACATACACACACACACACACCATACACATACACCACTCCCACACAATACAGTACATACACATACCCCACTCCACACACCTATCCCCACACCACACACAAACACACACCACACACACACATACACACCACCTTAAAAACATATACAGGTTACATAAGCATGTTTACTTGAGGGGTAAAGGTATTTATTCTCTGTGAGTTTGGAGTGACCATGACTATCACAAGGCTGAGGTTGCTGCAGTCATGGAAACACCAGAAGCAAAACAACACAGAAAGTGGGGACTTGGCTGCAAAGCTCCCTAGTGGAAGACCCCAGCTTTTTTATTTATCAGAAAAATAGTAGCCATGTTACCTTCCACCATATTCTTTTCCGTTGCATTGACTAGGAAGAGATCCCAGGAATAAGTGAGGTCTGGTACATTGTCACAGTCTTCACACACAGCTCTGAGAGACAGCTCTTCATTCCAGTTTACATGAATGTCTCTAAAATTGGCCCATGAGATGTGGACGAATCTGGAACAGGCAACCCCCTTGATGTTGTAGGAAAATACCACCCACATGCATCCTTAGGCTGCATTCTCTTGGGCTGGCCATGTTTGAACCATCTGTGTTGGCTCTGTTTTATGAGAACCCAATGTGTCATCACAGCCTGTGTGCTCAGCCTTGCTTCTCACTTGTGCAGAGCTATTGGGTCATGAGCTGCCCCATGCCCTACAATGGGACCGTACCTTGCACAGTCCCACATTTGATACAAACATTTCTGACTCACTATAGCTACATCCTGGCCATATCTCCAGGCTCTTTGCTGGCCCAGGGATGAGTCCCAAAGAGCATTTCATGACAGCTGGTTCTTTGGGACATCATCATATAGTGTGAGGGACTATGTTGGGCTTTGGCATGTGGATTCCTTTCTTACAGGACTTGAGGACTCTTTAAAAGGCTGAATACAGAGAGGACTTGCTAAGTGGTATGCAGGATTCTCTTTGTCTTTTACTGTGAGGCACATCCCAAGCCATGGCTTCACCATGTAACATCAAATGCAGGAGGCAAGAAGGACCATGGCAAGACAGTTCTGCTGCTTCCTCAAAGGGAATCAGCCTGTCCCATGTTTGTGTGTACCTCTGTATTTGTGTGTGTACATGTATGCAGTAGCTGTTGTCCATAGTTTCAGCTACTTGCAGTCAACCAACATCTGAAACATTAAATGGAAAATTCCAGAAATAAACTATTCCTAAGCGTTCAGGCATGCCATTCTCAGGAATGTATAAATCATGTACTATCCTCAAATTTGACTCCCCTGGAATTCAGCCCCTGCTCAGTCACATATAACCTAGAGCCTAGAGGGGGAACCCAGATGTTTTTATGTCCTTGCCCATCCTGGCAGCACAGCTCAAGTCCTGGTACCTGCTTTTGGTCTCTGGGGATGTATGTATGAGTACTTGGTAACCATTGGTACTTTGGTGATGAAGAGCCTATGGGTTTGGTTCCCAGCATTTTTTTTGTAATCCCTCATGCTCCAAGATGTCACAAATGGACCCACACTTGCATCCCTTAAGTCCTGCAATTCCTAACAGGCTCCTGAGTCTGGAAATCAGATCACCTTGCCACCTTCTATCATAAGCCTCAAGCACTGGTCTTCCATCTTGGGGATGGGTGCTGTAACAGGAAGGACCCATTGATAAAATCTTTCAGAATCACTTATGTGTCACTGTTAGCCCAGGAGACAGCAGAGCTATCCAAGTCACCAGCCCCTCCCTGGCTACCACCTTCTTCTTATGGTGTGGTTCCCACATGGCCTAAGTTTACACTGGTCTCCACCACCATCCAGAGTGCTCAGCTACGTATGACCAGGCATGGGTACCTGAAGGCTGGGTCAGGATGGGTGGACAGGAATATCAAGGCCTGAGAAGAGTTCTGTCCATTGCTGGAGACTGTCAGTGTCAGAAGGAACTGGTCACAGCATTCACTGAGCCATCTTGCTTGGAAGGAAACGGAAGGAGCGTGAGTGTCCATTTGATATAGAGTAGAGTCCTCAAAGCAGGGCCACCTTGGTGAGCTGGCTGCAGTGCAAGTCCAGTGATAACTATAGAAGAAGCCATTGGAGGGGCATGGTTAGCATCACTGCATGTTAAAAGCACATGAGACTGGGAAGAGATGACAACCTTCACTCTTTGACATCAGTGACACAGGAGCTGGGCCTGTCTCTCCCACTCACTGGCACAAAGACCACTGTATTCCACCTAGAGTTCTGCTTCCGGCTGACTTGTGTCTTCCACTGTGGTCCTGGAGCTACTTCTGTCACTCCTTCCCATCCCTGTGCATGATGACTCCCTCTGCTCATAAGTAACACAACCCTGCAATGCCTAGAATAATTCCTTCATGATGACTCTGCCAGTGCCGCATCTCATCTTTGAGACAATAAGCAGGAATGTCACAGTATGCCTAATTTAGGAAGAAAACACCTTGGTAGAGGCTTTGGGGAGCTGCCCTGTTTCACTCAGAGCTGGTGCAAAGTACGGCCAGCAGTGAACTGAACTTGAGATGATTCCCCTTCAATCTCACTATCTTTCTAAAATGATAATTGCTTGAGCCACAAGGCAAAGATGGTTGCACCATCAGGGTGGAATGGGAGGACAGCATCAGCGCACCTTTGAGCAGTTCTTAACCCATAGGGGAAGACATAAGACATACTTAAACAGGCATGTGGCAGGCAGGCAACAGTATGGAAATGCACTGGCAAGGAATGCCAGCCTCATTATGGCAACCTGTTTCCATAAGTGTCACTGTTGCTGAGCCTTAAAAACCCATTTCCATGTTTTGACTGCAGGTACTGCATTCTGAAGAGGCACTGCATTCTGAGGTGGTACTGCATTCTTGGGAGGTACTGCATTCTGAGGCAGGTACTGCATTCTGAGGCAGGTACTGCATTCTGAGGCAGGTACTGCATTCTGAGGCAGGTACTGCATTCTGAGGCAGGTACTGCAGCAGCCTCTTAACCTCTGCTGGGAAGAAGCAACCCTGAGACAACAGAACGCAGTGTCCAATACAGTTTGTAACAGAGAAACTGTCCCGTGATTCCCCCAAAAGATTCCTTACTACCCAGAAGCACATTCAGCAGGAGGCACTTAGCTCTCGTGTTCAGGCACTATGATGAGTTCTAAGACTTGATGGTGTGAAGATGATGGAGACACAGCCTTGGTCTGTCTGTCTTGGGGGTGAAGAACAGATAGTAGAGAGGTGTGTCTACAGCATGCACACAGCTAGAGTAGGGAAGGGGTCCTCTCACCTCACTGCACTAAAGAAGCACCAAATCCCACACTTGGTGTGGCAAACACACAGGATCACAGCAGGGGTTACAACAACAAAGGGACCTCTCTACTGATTGACGATTGACGAATAGGGACATGTGCCAGGCACTGGGGTGTACCCAGTGAGAGCCCTGATGTTCTGAACTTAAACTCAGTGAAGGAGGGCAATGAATAGCAGCTATATGAGTGAGGAATAAGTGTCATATTTTGGGGGGGGAGGGAGGGTCCAAGACAGGGTTTCTCTGTGGCTTTGGAGGCTGTCCTGGAATTAGCTCTTGTAGACCAGGCTGGTCTCAAACTCACAGAGATTTGCCTGCTTCTGCCTCTAAGTGCTGGGATTAAAGGCGTGCACCACCACCGTCTGATATGAGGAATAAGTTTAAGACTGGATTGGCTCCAGATAGGACAGTGACTTCCCCTCTGAGTCAAATGGGTGTGATGAAGGTCAGAACAGGGAAGTGAGGGCATTTAACTTTTTCTAGAAAACTCCATCCTGTCTTGGAGGATTGGTTGAGGCTGAGGATGGGCACAAGCTGAGGCCCAGGTGGCTCCACCCAGGCAATCAGGGGAAGTGTGGGGAGTTGGTTTCTATGGGAGACCTAATGTGATTTCCTGACAGAGGAGGCACAGAGTGTGAGAGAAAGGGATGTTAAAACCTCTCAGGGAAGCTTTGGTCTGAGTGACTGGAAGACATGTTTCCTTAGGGTCCCAGCACTAAGAGGGGGAAGTAGACAAGAACCCTCATCCCAATCAAGAAACTATCTCCAATTGACAAATGCTCAAAAAGGAAAATTCAGTTTCCTCCCATGGAGTCTCACTGTGAATACAAACCACACAGGGCAGCAGGAGATGGGCAACACAAAATGAATTCAATGATATTTTTGGAGGTTTTTTTTTGGTCTTACATTGATTTGGGAGTTTTTTTTTTTCCTAACTGAGCTTTTGCTTATATATTATAGTTTCTAACTTTGGTTTTATGCATTTTATTTGTGTGTATGTGTGTTAGTGTGTATATGCATTCCTTGTGCTTATTCTCTTTTATTTTTTGTTCTGGTCCATTTGCCTGTTTGTTTGAGAGACAGGGGCAAGGGCATGGAGTTGGATGTGTGGGGAGGGGAGAGGATATGAGATGATATGAAGGAGGGGAAACAGTGATCAGAATATATTGTATAAAAATTAATTTTAGTTAAAAAAAAAGAATTGTTTCTTGGATAAAGATGGGGAATGACAGTGGGAAGAGGCAGACTTTGTGGTGGGTGACTTGAGGCACAGGAAAGGGGCACAAAGGTGGTGGTGATGCCCAACACAGAGCAGACTGGTGGAGGACGTGAGTCTGAGGCTACGAGGAGAGATGCTAGCGTGGAGGATGCATGCTGGAAGGAAGAGGATCACATCGGAAGACTGGGAAGCGCCTGCTGGGTTGGGCTGTCTGGTCCAGAGCCTGAGGCCACAGGGCAGAGCCACACTAGAGGTGGCACTCTGCCCCCACCGCCCCAAGGGCATCTGACTAAGGAGTCCTTATGAAAGGGAAGCATTCACAGCATGCATTCCAAACTGGCATTTTAAGCATTGCCTTAAAAAGTTACTCACACTTTACTCTCCTTTCCTATATTGGTTTACACTTGGATAGTGAATAAAGCACTTCAACCAAAGAAAGCCGCTACACAGAAATGTCTCAAACTATGTTGGCAGAATTCCCATACTAACTTTCCTAGTATTCCAAGCCAGAGTTTGGAGAAGTAGGAGCCTGGGATCCTGGCAGCTCTGTGTTCTTACCTGAGAGCAGCTCCCGGGTTGTCAGGGTCATAGGACTGGAACCCTCTGAGGATGATGGGGGTGGTGGTGGCCCTGGGAATGAAGATATGTGTGCCTTCAGAGATCACACTGACAGGAGCCCTGGGTCGAACCTCCACACCAACACAGTAGTTGCTATACACCATGCTTCCCTTGATCTGAACCTGAAAGACAAGGGATATTGCACGAGAACAAAGCAGATGCTCTCTGGACCTATCTATACACGTGACACTGGCCCTTAGCTCAACTACAGTAGTTGCCTAAAGTGTTCATGTGAGGGTATGGCTGGAGGGAAGTGCATGGATCTTTTAAATTCTAAGTCTGCCTAAATGTACAGTTATCAAGGTGTGCATTGGTCCGTATTTTTGAACTCAGCTCCTCCTTTTTTAGTTTTTTGAAACAGGGTTTCTCTGTGTAGCTTTGGAGCCTATCCTGGCACTCGCTCTGGAGACCAGGCTGGCCTCGAACTCACAGAGATCTGCCTGCCTCTGCCTCCTGAGTGCTGGGATTAAAGGCGTGTGCCACCAACGCCCGGCTCAGCTCCTCTTGCTTGCACAGTACACCAAATGTGTACTGTGGCTCTTCTGCACTGAGCCACTTATCCAGCTGCAATGAAAGCTCTTTCTTAAAATCCTACCCACACTTTTAAAACAAACAAAAAAATCAAAATAAAATGAAAAAAAAAAAAAAAACAACTCTCCCTTTCATTGGTAGAAGAGGGTTTTCTCCAGTGCTTGTGGAAAGGGTTGGCTGGCTTGACAGTGCTTGAGGAACTGTGAGTGAGCCCACCTTGGCCATGGCAGTGTAGTTCCCACACTCCAGGGTGTAGCTTGGGAGCATGATGGTCTGTCTGTGGGTGTTGACAGCAGCAGGGAGGGTGACAGCAGTCGCCCCCGCATCCACAATACTCCAGGTGTAGGAAAGCCCTTGGGAAATGTTACAGAGGACTGCAGCTTCAAACGTCACTCTGAGTGTCAGGGGCTGAGACCTCCATATCTGGAAATTGACATGAGAAGTCATGTCAGTGAATGTCCACCAACCCTGATGGTGCAGTGCACTGTTAGAAAGTGTCACTTGTGAATCCCCAACCATTTGTTTGTGAAATTTCAGGATGAGACCTGGGACTGGCCCTTAGACAGCACCCATATATTTATTTTATAGACAAAAGTAAACAGTAAAAATATAAAACCAAGAAAAGCGAGTATTTATGTTCACATACTAATAGCAGGAAAAAAGATAACTTTTCAAGCATGAAGCTAGTGGGAAAATGGCAAATGAAAAGGTAACTAGATTTGATTACATTAGAATTTCATTTGATTGTATATCTGCTATTTGTGTATTTATTATGGTACTCACAGCTGTGCTGTTCTTCCTAAGCTCTTTATGCCCCTTTATCCAGCCTCTGGGACTAGCTCAACATCCTGGCCTGACTTTGGGATTTGTGCCTGAATGTGGAAAAGCAGTCCAAGTGAGCCTACCTTGGGACTCCTCCTCCTCTGGCCCTGATGCTAGGTGCAAGGGCTCCCCCTGGAGGTAGTTCCATGTATTTTGAAAAGAGAAAAATCTGGAGAAGTGGGATTTTAAGAATGCAGCGCTATTATGCTAGTTGTCTCTCCCCATGGTCCCTCTTTTACCCCGCCATCACATTTTCCTCCCCCATTTAACCCTCCTGTTTTAGTTCCCCCTTGTCTTCTTATAACACCACACTCCAGGGTAAGCCACATGCTCAGGAGTAGTTGGCCAAACACAAAACAGACTCCATGTTTTTTATGTTTTGTGTTTTGTTTTAATATCTTTTTGTTATTGATTCTCTTTGTTTATATGTTTCAATTTTTGCTGTTTTCTAGTTTTTTGAGGGGGAGAGCATGAAGTTGGATGGATAGAGAGGTGGAGTGGATCTGGAATGAGTCGAGGGAAGGAAAAGAATATGATCAAAATATAATATATGGAAACGTCTTAATAAAATGAATTTAAGGGTTAAAAAAAGGTAGTGGCTGCCCTCCTCCCACTACTGACTGAGACATTTAATCTGAAATTTTAGATGAAATATAGTTTATTGTAAAGAAAACACAAATGATATAAAGACTAGACTTAAAAAACAGGAGAAGAAGGAATGTATTAGTCTTATAACTGAGAAATTTACCTTCTGCATTCTCTAGGTGGCTTTCTACACTATCTAATTTACTCTTCAATCCTTTTCATTGCTTTTGCTCTGCATCTGATTTCATTATAGGACTTGCAACAAAGCTACCACACCACATGGGCCAGGGCAAATAGTAATACTCTCAATTTTCAGACCTTATACACACATTCCAAGTGACAAAATGCATTAAAACTATACAATTTTCATTGGAGTGGGAGATGGCTCTGCATGCTGACAATCTGGGGTGCACAGTAGCAACTGGAATACACAAATTTCCCAAGAGAGGCATTCTGTTCCTTAGCTCTGTGACATGGAGATGCTAAGGACATGAAGAAAAATGTGTGCACCCAGGGTTTTTCATGCTAAAGATGTGTGCACAAAGGGCCACATGCTAAAGGTGTCTGCACGGAGAGCCACATGCTAAAGATGTGTGCACAGAAGAGCCACATGCTACTTGTAGTAATAGAAAGTTAGAAACAATCAAAGTGTAGTAATGAGGACTCTGGGAATGCTGTAGAATTTGTACATATGATCCAGTATATGCCCCCATTAAAAATAATAGACAAGATGATGTAATAAGAGACAGTGGTCATGCTATAACACAATGATTAAAATTTTGTTATAAGCACACATATTCAAATCTCTCTCTCTCTCTCTCTCTCTCTCTCTCTCTCTCTCTCTCTCTCCCTCTCCATATAACAAAACAATAGCAGGGAGCTGGAGAAAGGGCTCAGTGGTTAAGAATATTTTCTTCTCTTGCAGGAAAACTAAGTTTTCTTCCCAGTACCCATGTTGGGCAACTCACATCCCCCTATAACTCCAACAGGTTGGGCTGTGTGAGCCATATCCATACACACACATCATTTTAAAATAATAAGGATAATTATAAAAGTAGTAAAACATTTAAAATACATACATCTATCTCCTGCTGTCTGGATTTCACACAATTCCAGTTTGTCTTTATACTTTCAGAAAACACAAGAAGTATAAAAGTCAAATGGAATCATCAATATTGTTTTCCTTAACTTACAGAAAAACTCAAATGAAAATGTTTAACAGATTAGAAACTGAGCTCACTTATTTGTACAATGTTTGTTTCTGTGTATCAATTGAAAGTAAGTGTAAATTAAAACAAACAACAATAGATTCGTGTGTGGGAGTATGAGCCAGTAACACCAGCAAGCAAGAAGCCAAGGAAGGAAAACTGAGAGTGCTAGGACCTTCTGGGTTAAATAGTGATGCCCAATCTCAAATAAGATGAAAATAAACGAAATAAGATAACAAAAATAACAAAATATTCCTTAAAATAAACAAACTCAAACAAAGGACAGTATCAGCTGCACAACAGAGCAAGAATCTCAGCCAGAGCCTCATGAGCCATGGTCTTTCCCTAGAATCCCTTGAGTTTGGTCCATCCCTCACACAGAGAGCACAGAACAGCCTGACACCATGGAATGCTGGCCTCAGAGCTCCAGAGGTCTTGCCTTGAGGGTCATGGACAATTGAAGGCCACAGCCTGCCCAGGGCAACCCCATACTCTCTTTAAAGTCAACTGCACTCTGAGGCTTCTGGGACCTGAGATGCAAGGGGCTGGCAGCTAATCCACCAGAGAAAGTGTTTTGGCAAAAACTCAGCAGTAGATTTTGATCCCCAAGGGTCAGGCTGAACACCTTTGACCCGAAAGTAAAACTGCTTGAAATCAAAACCCTCAAAGGAGTGGAAGAAAAGGCAGCCTTCTTTTCTTTTCCCTACTCTGTAGTTAGTACTCAGCATATAATTGGCCATTTCTTTTAATTTTGGTGTCAAATTTCCCTTTTGACTGAAAATGCTATTATTCTGTATATAGTCAAAAAAGAAAGAAAGAAGGAAAGCTGCTCGAAGCAAGCTGTGCTGAATGTCAGTCATATAGGAAATAAAGGATTTATTCTCCCACTAGAAGCCGGGCTTCCCTCCCAAGCCAGGCTCTCCCTGCTCAGGGAGCAGCTTCAGAGCCCTCACAGGGACTCCTTTGTGCTACATGCAGCAGGACAAACTCACAAAGCCTCCTTCATTCTGCATCGAGCTCAGCAATATGGAAGCAGCCTATAGGGAGGCAGGCGGGAGGATTTCTAAAGCCTGGCCCTACCTGAACTTGCTTAGGCCCCATGTTCTTCACCGGGGGTGGTTGGCAAGGCTCGTGCACGATGAAAAGTTGCTTTCTTAGGATGGCAGAGCTGACATTATTGAAGGCAAGGACTTCAACTGTAAATTCTCCCTCCCTGGAAGGGTAGAAAGCAGAGACATGGAGAGATCAAGGTTACTGTACACTGGTTCTTGTTCCCGCTTTATAACCATCTGTGACCTGTGGTTATTCTATCTGATGGCAAGTGAACCCAAAGAGTAGGGACAGAAGAGGCCTGGGTCAGGAAGTTGGTCTCCATGAAGGCCAGTCTCTGTCTGCTTGGTGGAGCTGTCCATGCTGCGTGGATAAAGGCCTGTGTTAGTCAGCTGGTAGTTATGTGCTCCAAACACCACACTCAGGCAAGAGCATACTGCTCCCAGGAGCCATGACTCATTTCTCTGCTGACCACAGAGCTACCCAAAAGTTGGACCTCAAACTTTTCCATGTGATGGACATTCCTGACTGGAGCTCTGGGTCTCCCGACACATCTTCTGGTTCTAGGGTCAGATTTCCTGAACAATCCTTAGGATTTGGGGGACTAGGAAGGAACAGAATGGGTTTCAAGCCTGCACCTTCATGCAGCTCTGGACAGAGTAGAAGGTCCTGGCTATGGAGAGAAGGTGGATTGTGGGGATTAGGCAGCTTGTAAATAGAATGTCACCTGCTACCCTGGAGGTCCAGGAAGAAAGGCAGGTGTCTGATGAGGAGGATGTCTGCATGGTGTTCTTGGGCTGTGGGATGGTCCAGAGCTAACACTGGGATGGCACCAGACACACACTGCCATTTGCAGAGGGCTGCTGGAGCCACAGAGTACATCCTGGGTATCTGAGCTCTAGGTACCTGCCTAGCCATGTGCAAATCCCTCCGGAACTTTTGATTGACTCCTTCTGTACCTGAAAAATTATTTCCAAGGAAGAAGTCATGAATTATGGCTAGTGATAGACCACTAAAGACTGCCTGTGAATGTTAGAAGAGGCCATAGACATGGGCCTGTGTTGAGGGAAGCCTGTAATGGTTTCTGGTGCCGCTGCCCAGAGGTTTTACTTTTTGAATTCTTCTACTTGTGGTTTGAAAGAGAAACATCCCCACAGACACTTGTGTTTAAACGCTTGGTCCCCAGTTGGTGGGGCTATTTGGGAAGGTTATGGAAGTGTGGCTTTCCTGGAGGAAGTGTGTCACTACGGGTGGGCTTTGAAGGTATACAGTTCCACTTAAGAGTTGGCTCTCTCATCTGTCAGCTTCCTCCTTCCTGCTGCAATGTCTTCCCCACCATGTGATCATCTAGACCTCAGAACCCCTATATCCAAATAAACTGTTCCTGAAGTCTATTTTTTTTCTTTTTTTTTAAGATAGGGTTTCTCTGTGTTGCTTTGAAGGCTGTCCTGGAACCCACTCTGTAGACTAAGCTGACCTCCAACTTGCAGAGATCCATCTGTCTCTGCCTCTTGAGTGCTGGGATTAAAGGTATGTGTCACCACCACCAGGCCTGAAGTTGCTTTTGATCATTTTTTTTCTTAATCATAACAGGACATAAACATAACACAATTCTGTGCACTCTAATATTCCACTACATCAGATGAGTTTGAGGCTTGGCCTTGGTCATGAGTGTCTCTGGCAACTGTGAAAACTGGACACTCATTGTGAGGTCTTGACCCACTGAGGACCTAGGATTCACCCCAGCCAGAGACTCAGTGAGGAACAAATGACTGCTTGTCTGCAGTTTCCACATTCCCAACCTTGAGTGCCATTTGTAATTGTGGTTTTTGCATCAAGAAAACCTTCAGGAGCAATGATTTTGGACAAAGGCAATCAGATATAACTCATCTTTCTAATCTAGCCAGTTGCTGGAGAATGATGGTTAATGGAGTATTGCATATGACATGACAAGGGTTTCCTAGGATTATGATAAGGCAGAATATTTTGTATTGCCTAGTGATGGCACAGCTGTCATAACATAAACAGAATGAGACTGGCATGAACTAGGTTCCTACATTGCCAACACAAACAATGATGGCCAGTATATGGATGATGATATAAATGGTTATGTGGTTGGTTTATATATTTATAAACTATAGTTTTCAGAGAATGTACACCTACTTACAAAAAGAAATGTTTCCTATAAAACATTACCTAGCAGTGGCTTTCTGCATCTATCTCTTGGTTGCATCAGGCACAATGTAAGATCTATGGTACCTAAGTTTGTGTCAACACACTTATAATGCATGCACACTAACAGAACCAACAGATAATGGCTTTACAGAGTACCTCTGGCAGTTAAGTGACATACTACTATCCCATAATGCCTTGTTCCAGGTAAGCAGTTGGTTGAATGAAGGGTAATATTCATACTCTACCTTCAGATACAGGGACCCATTGTAGTGTGTCCTCAGAGCTCTTACCCCTGTCTGCCCCCTGTCTACCTCCTTTCCCTCTCTCAATCACACCCATCTGCTACTGCAGGCCTCTCCCACTCATGCCTTTGTTTTGGGTCTCTGTTGGTTTCCCCTCCCCACTTTTCCTCTAGGAATTCCATGCTGGAGGTCCCTCTTCTGGTCATTTGCAAATGCCCAAATATTGTTTTGTAGTTTACAAAACCATGTGTGTGGATCATGCCCTCTGCAGCCCATACCTTCCTTGCTGATGGAACCCCCAGGAATGAAGGCCTCTATTTGCCTCCTTTCCCTGGACTGCAAGCTCTTCAGAGCCTAGTCAGGCCTGAATTGTTTCTATTCAACATTTGTCATCTGCATGACCTGCAAGGTTGGCTATGGGGTTTTAAGCATCAATCCTTCAGAAGGCAGCTCCATGTGCCACCTGCAGTCAGTTGTCACCTGTTCTGTATGGCTTACCTTCTGTAGACATGACTGGAGAAACTTTTGCCCAGATCAATGGTCCCGTCTCCAAAGTTCCAAAGATAGGCTACATCAGTGCCAAAGTTGAGTCTGCATTCAAAGGACACATTGGCATTTACCAGGGCTGAGGCAGTAGACATGAGCCGATTGGCTATGATTCTCTTCTGTATCCTGATGAGGTGGGGCTCGGAGACCACACTGCCGATCCTGCTGGTGGCTTTGACCATCACATGGTACCTGAGGATGGGAACAAGGCAAGATGAGAACATGAGGCTGGTGGGAATCTCCACACCGCTTTAGCAGACAGACAGAGCTGGAAGCTTAAATTGTGGGCATTATCCAATGAGTAGTAGCAAAGTCGGGATGGAGGGACTTCTTCTTAAGTTCCCTTTCTTATTATTTAGTTCATGTCTCTAAGTGAGGTGTGCACCCCGCCCTTGTTTAAACGAAGTGCAATCTAGATTATACTGAGGGCTGAGATGAGATTTGAATTTTGGATCACTGTGCTTCTTAGTGCTCACTTGGGGGAGGTGAGCTCCTATTCTTTTACATTTTATGGCTAAGCTCAACACACAGAAGTGCTTAGGGGCTGGATGGAATGTATACATCAATAAAACTATGGTGACAGTGCCAAGGTGGTCTTTTTCCTGACTGTTGGCTGCATCAGCACTAAAGACCGTATTGACAGACCACTGAGGGATGCTCAGCCTTCTTCTGATGCTTCTGGAAGTTGTCCTCACTGGTGGGTCATCTCCCAAATACCACATGAACTCCAGGGGTAGAGTTTCCTTGGTAACAGCCACAAATGTGATGTTTGTGTCTGCAGCAAACACAGTTCCATTGGTGTAAATAGACACAGCTGTGACAAAGAGAGGGAGGCAGGGGTCCATCAGCACCAAGAGCTGGAAGCCACTCAGAGACCTCCACCCCACCCCCACACCTAACCAAAAACATGAACACTAAGTCTATGGATTGTGAGTGTAAGGCAAAGCCAGCGGTGAGGGGGATCTGTAGGGCCCAAACAGGAGGTAGAGCCCAGGTCTGAGGGCCATCAGTAATGGCTCACAAGGCAACATGGCTGGCTCCTTTGGAAGGCATAGAATGGAAGTGGGGTAAGGGCAGCAGAGACCATATGATACTCCTCAACTCTTGTGAGAGCTCAGAACCTATGGTTTCAAGGAAGTCCCAGAACAAACTGCATGTGTACAGGAGCCTGATGAAGGGACAATAGGATGGGTCCTGGGCTGAGCTGACAGCAGAAGCTTCAGCAGTCAGTTGCTAAGGCAGAAGAGCTATATCTACAATTAAAATGGAGACGCACATTGCATCTTATACCCAACAGTCACACCAAGCCAAGCCTGGCTGCTGTCCACTTGAGTCTGAGAAATAAAGGACACATTGTATGAAGAAACAGACGAGAAGCGATGCATCACGACTGTGCCTACAAGAGAAGACACGGAAGAAATTTTAATCCACTTGTCTTAAGCACACACACACACACACACACACACACACACACACACACACACACACACACCAATATTTATCATTATCAACTTTATCTCTGAATTTTATAAAATTTGAAATCTGGAGCATACACTCAAATGAGATGGCTGGCAAACATGAATTATGTCACAGGATTTCTCTCTTTAAAATTTTCTTTAAATGATTATTTTGTCTCTCCAGAGAACTCTACATAGCGATAAATATATTATGGTCTTTGCAATACACTGATTCTTTTGTTAGTTGGCTTTATGTTAAACATATTTGCCCTATGTGTGTATATTAAACACACATCATAGAGATATGTGTTTAGTCATATAATCTCCACATCATAAAGATTCTTAATGGGGCATCCAACAATAAGCCACATTCATCTAAATCCTCTAAAATGCAATGCAGTATTTTATGTGCACATGTGTGCTTATCACATATGTATGAATATTTGGAAGGCAAATGCTAAAAACTTGAATCAGATCCTAGAAGAGGGCTAATCTTAGAGATCCTAAGAAGATTGAAATGAACTCATTTGGGATATTAAAAGGGATATGGGCTTTAAAATTATTGTTGCTGTTTTTTCTATGCATTTTCTCTTTATAGAGAGAAAATTTGTATTTACAAGATAAATAAAATGGATTGGATACAGATTCTTTTTAAATGCGCCCCATGAATAAGACTGATATGTTTTCCTTAACAATGGCTAAAACTTAATCTTGATCACAACCAGTGTCACAACACCTGAGGAAAGAAAAGTCATGAATTTGCACAAGGGTGTCCAATTATTGATCTTTAGCATGGGATTTAGACTCCAATCACCCAATTCTAAATCTTACCACAAAACCCACTTTACTCAAAGACACTCATGGCCTGTGCTCATCCACTGTAATCAAAGCTTTGATAAGACAAGTCAATACGGACGGTCAGCTGGCTGGCTACAGTGCGATGCTTTGAGGGTTTAGAAGAGCTCCTCTGTGTCATGTGATGCTTAGTCGGAGAGTTTCCCCCCAAGGGGGACTGTGGGAAATGCAGTCCATATGTGGTAAAATAGTCCTGATTCTCAAGAATGAGTACTTCAGGATGCATCTCCCACTGGGTTCCCCTTTTCCTATGAGCCTATTACTATCTCCTGGAGTGGAATACTCTGGGGTCTTCCTGCTCCACACTGGCTCTGCTAGAATGTGTCCCAACTGTTTTCGTCAGAACTCTTAATTACAGTCCCTCTTCTAACTCTTTCTGGACTGTGAGTTTTTGATGTCGTCCACCAAGCTAGCAACAGGGGAATGGATATCTACAGGTGGGTGTGGGGGGAGGATGAGGAGGCAGGAGTGAGGAGCTCCTGATATACTATGAGCCCAGCACCACATACCATTGGCTATGGCTGTGCAATCTGCCAGAATGTCCCCATACCAGCTCATCACAGCTCACTGTATGTACCAACTTCTACCTCAGGTAGTATCTGTCCCATGGTGACACATAGTCTAGGGGACCTCCCACCCCCATGGCCATGCTCCTCTGCAGGCACCTTTTTTTCTTTCATGTATCTTGTGTTATACACTTGTCCAGGTATCTTTACTGGATTACAAGTTCCCTAGGGTTGGATCTCTGTGTGATTATACCCCATCTCCCCCAACACAATATTGCACAGTGCCTATTTTCTATGTGAGGTCAAAATGGATGATGGCGCTGTATTGAATAGGGTGGCTAGAACTTGGACAGTGAAACTAAAGCTGAGTCAGGCTCCACACACCCCAGAGATCTCCACGCACAGGTCTCACCTTTCTGCTGTGGGAGGGAGTCAGCAAAGGAAAGAGCTTCACTGTCATGGATAGAGCTGGAGTTCATGAATACAGACACGTTCTCACGGCCAATGTCCACGTAATAAGGCCCCAGCTCCACATCAGCTCCATGAATGTCATGGACAACAGCCCTGAGCTTGTAGACTCCTTCTGGAAAAAGAAGACAAAAATGGCATAATACATACAAAGCAGAGATTTAGCAAAGAAAAAAAATCATCTATATGGAAACAGTGAATATGGTGAGATGCAGGATTTGGGAGCAGGGTGCTGAGCAAAACACCGAAGAAAGTATCCTACCCAGATCAGAGATTTAATTATTTCTGTAGGAATGAGCAGACCCAGGGCTGGAGACAGCTCAGAGGTTAAGAGCATGTACTACTCTTGCAAAGATCTGAGTTTGAGTCACAGCACCTGCACTGAGAAGCTCACAACCTCCTGCTTCTGTGGAAATCTGCATTCACTTGTACTTACCTACCTACCTACCTACCTACCTACCCACCTACCTACCTACACACACACACACACACACACACACACACAACTTTAAAAATAAATCTTTTTAAAAGGCATGTTTTTCCAACTTACAGAAGCTGTACCTTAAGTGCTGAATCATCATTAATAACTTCATCACATTTATAAAACAAACCAACGCTTCTCACAATACAATCCAAAGGAGATCCTGCATGTAGATTTTTTTTTGAGACAGGGTTTTGCATGTGGATTTTAATAAATAGAAAGTGAAACTAACATTAGGCCAGTTATCACAGTCACTGGGGGACCAGGACTAAGTTAAGAGTTACGCTATGGACAAATCAACATATTATTCATACTTAATTTTAAAAGGCAAATCTTGTCACTCCAGCATCAGGAAGCTAATTTATCTAACAGTTAAAAGACCTGTGCCTGGACTCAGGAATTTGATTCCTGGTCTTAGACAAATTTGTTTGCAAATTACATTTAAACTTAACCTCTAGGAAATGATAGACTACTAACTCAGTGCTGGATAGTTTTATGTCAACTTGACACAAGAAAGTCATTTGAGAGGAGGGAACCTCAATTAAGAAAATGCCTCTGAGCCAGGCATTGGTGGCGCACACCTTTAATCCCAGCACTTGGGAGGCAGAGGCAGGTGGATCTCTGTGAGTTCGAGGGCCAGTCTGGTCTACAGAGTGTCAGGATAGGCTCCAAAGCTACACAGAGAAACCCCGTCTCCAAAACTGCCGCCGCCCCCCCCCCCAAAAAAAAAAGTCTCCATAAGATCAGGTTATAGGAAAGCCTGTAGGGCATTTTCATAATTAGTGATCAACAGGAAAGGGCCCATCCTAATATGAGTGGTGTTATCCCTGGACTGGTGGTTCTGGGTTCTATAAGAAAGCAGGCTGGCGGGGCATTGGTGGCATATGCCTTTAATCCCAGCACTCAGGAGGCAGAGGCAGGAGGATCTCTGTGAGTTCGAGGCCAGCCTGGTCTCCAGAGCGAGTGCCAGGATAGGCTCCAAAGCTACACAGAGAAATCCTGTCTCGAAAAACCAAAAAAAGAAAAAGAAAAAGAAAGAAAGAAAGAAAGAAAGCAGGCTGAGCAAGCCATGATTAGCAGCCAGTCAGCAGCACCCCTCCATGACCTCTGCATCAGCTCCTGCCTCCAGGATCCTATCCTGTTTGAGTTCCTGTTGACTTCAGTGATGAATGGAGATATGGGAGTGTAAGCCAAATAAACCCTTTCCTCCTCAACTTGCATTTTGGTCATGGTATTTCATCATAGCAATAGAATCCTTAACTAAGACAAGCTTCTTATTTTATTTTTAAGGCAGTAAGAAAAATCAACTTATTAAAGTTATCAGTGTTTAACAGCAATAGCGCATGCCCCAGTTTGAGTATGATGCAGTTAACCTTTCACTGAGTCTTCTAAGCCTTATGCAAAGCAAAGGGGGTAAGAATGAACTAAAATGAAACACATTTGGAGGAGTGATGGGAGGTAGGTAGCCCTATGCATGTTCATAATACAAAAGAGACACAGATCTGCCCAAAGCGGCAAAAATCAAGCATGGATGGGCAAGGACCATGCTGTAGGTGGGAAAGGGAAGAAGATACTGTAAATGCAGAAGGACTTGGTGACTGTAAATTTCTCCAGCAACATCGCCTGTAGACAGCCAGTCCTGAAAAAGTGAACTCAATTAGGAGAAACACTACAAAGAAAGAGAAACTGGAAATGATGAAAGGGAGGGAGACAACACCATTCAGAACATATGAGATACTCCAAGAGTTAAAAGGAAAGCTTCAGGAGGTACTCAGTGGATGGAGATCATCCTCCAGAAAAAACAAAACATATATATATATATGTTTATTCTTTATATATATATATATAAAGAATGGGTTAAACACTGGAGAGCCATTATCTTCTGTCATGAGTGATGCAAGCGCAGAAGTGAGAACACTTCAAAGATCACACTGGAGAATAAGACATCACACAATGTGAAAGAAGAGACACAGAGGAAAGGGGGGGCAGTCACAAGAAAGCAGAGGTATTGGAAAAACAAATGAGACCAAAAAGAGAGAGACAGAACAACTCTGTAACAGACTCCCGCGACTCAAAGCTAAAGTGTTAGGATAGAAAACAATTTAAGGGCATAATCAAGTAGATATCCATTGAAGCACATTAAAGGGCAATGCATGTCTGCATCTGCAAAAGTACAGTGCACACCAGAGGGACTGATGCAGAGGGGTCAGTTTGGAGGCATGTGCATTCTGGTGAAGCTACAGGAAATTACATCTGCAAAAACAATTATTTTGAAAGAGAGACAAAAGCAGTAAGCCATCTCTAAGAAGCACGGAGCCATCACAGCCTAGGAAAGAATGCAGCCGTGTATGAGAGGGCTATCCAAGACATAGGTGTCAGGGAGCTGAGGGTGAGGTGGGCCTAAGAATCTGTATTTCAAGGCAGATGATAATGATGATGAAGCTTGCCACACATGGAGAACCACCCTTATGAGAAGGAACCAAGTGGAGAGATGACTAGAGTCCTCAAGAAAACAAGCCCAAGAACTTATAAGCTAGAAAACTTAAGTACAGCAGCATCGACTTTAATTTTTCATCTGAGTTCTCCCCACAAGTCGGCAGGAGCCTAAACTGTAGTGAGGAGACCCAGAAGGAAGAACTAGGAATGAGAATGGAGCCTGTCTCACACTAGAACCAGAGTAAACTGCGTGTGGCCAGCTGGTGGTGGACAGATTATCAACAGGATGCTGTCACTTCAGGCCATTGCTGAGTGTGCCTTTTCACCATGGTGAGCTGTATCTTGTCAAACTGTAAGCCAAACTCTTCTACTTAGTGTTCCTTGTCATGAACAAAGACTAATGCAAATCATTTGAATGATTGAGTTCTATGATAAATTAGGAGTGGGAACGAGACAAGGGAATACATTTATATCCTTATTCAACAGGTACTTGGTGGTAAAAGGGATGAACTAACCTTGACCACCCTACTTAGGATAGGGTGCCAGCTCTGTGGGTCACAAGGTGCTCTTTTGCTCAAGGTCTGAATGCCTTCCTTCCTTCCTTCCTTCCTACCTTCCTTCCTTCCTTCCTTCCTTCTTTCCATCCTTCCTCCCTCCCTCCCCTCCTCCCTCATTCCCTCTAGCTCTCCCTTATTCCCCCTCCCTCCCTTTCTCTTGCCTTCCTCTCTCTCCTCCTCTTCCTCCCTCTCTCCTACTCCCATTTACTCTTATAGGTCTTTCCACTGGAGGGGATGGGTGGTAATGAGTCTCAAGCAGGAAGTTAGTACAGGAGTTCAGCACCTAGAAGATCAGGAGCCACTTCAGCATGGCATATCAGGATGGATATAAGGTATATTCCTCTGCAACCTCCTGAGTAGTCTTGAAGGGACCAGCTCCCCTTTTGG